CCTGATTTACAGCATCCGCAGTTCTTTTGGTTCTTCCTAAGGGTGTTGTGCCCAGTACTGCTCACTGACTCTGGGCGTGTACCTGAGCATGCTTTCCAGCCGCTGGTAATGCAGTCCCCAATGTAAAGGCCAGCAATTTGGAGCCAATTTGTTTGTTTTCTGCCACTATTCATGGTATTTAAATTAATCTATATGCACCGTTCCCAAGTGTCTTTGGACCTGTGCAGTTTCTAGCTTTAAAATAAAAAAAAATTGACTCCTTTTTGGGCCCATATTGAAAGCTCACACTTCCCTGTATTGAAAACCATTTGCCACCGTTTTGTCCATTCACTTAATCTGTCAATACCTCTTGGCAATTTTATGCTTCCAACTGCATACCTTATGAATCTGCTAATCTTTGTATAGTTGACAAAACATTATACGAGTGATTTAATACACAATGAATCATTGAGACCCCAACATAGATCCTTGTAGGGCACCACTTTTCACATACCATGATTAAGGGTACCTGTATTCTGTCTCTTTATCCTTGGCTTATTTCCTAAGTAGGTCAGTCATTTGCCTTCAGTTTTCTGAGCCTTCACTGAGTGGTTTTTTTTTGTAATAAGATGCTTTATCCAATACCTTCTGGAAGTTGATTTTAGATGTCATCTGTAGACATTCCCTATCACTTGAAAGAGTTTGATCTGTTCATCAAAGAGGAACATAGAAAATAGGAGCAAGAATAGGCCATTTGGCCCTTTGATCAGTCACAGCAGAGCAGGATCAATCAGCTCAATACTTTCTCCCCGTACTTTGTGATCCCTTTAGCCCTAAGAATGATACTTCTCCTTGAAAGCACTTAATATGACCATAAGAAATAGGAACAGAAGTAGGCTGTTCGGCCCCTCGAGTCTGCTGAATCATTCAATAGAAACGTGGCTGATCTGACATTCTTAACATCCGCTTTTCTGCCTTTTCCCCCTGTAATCTGTGGTTGCCCTACTCAAGAGTCTACCTATCTCAGCTTTAAATTTACACAAAAAACTCTGCCCTTACAGCTCTTTGTGGCAAGAACTTCCAAAGACACTCAACCCTGTGAGAGAAGAAATCCCCAGTCTTAAATTGACACCTCTTTATTCTAAGATTATGCCTCTTGTCCTCGACCCTCCCGTGATGGAAACATTCAGCATTTACCCTGTCAAGCCCTTTAAGGTTCCTGCATCTTTCAGTGGGAACACCTCTCATTCTGCTAAATTCCAGTGAGTAGAGACTCATCCTGTTTAGCCTTTGCTCATAAGACAATCCCTTCATACCTGGGATGGACTTTGTGGACCTTCTGTGAGCTGCCTTCAATGAGATTATATCTTTCCCTCAAATAAGGGGACAAACAGCTCAAGTACTCCAGATGTAGTCCTACCAGCACCTTGTACAGTTGCAGTAAGACTTTTCTACTCTTATATCCCAATTTCCTGAAATGAGGGCCAGCATTCCATTAGCCTTTCTGATTAACCTGCTGCATCTGTACGCCAGCTTTCTGCGTTTCACATACGAGTGCCTTTGTGTTGCAGCTTTTCTCCATTTAAAGAATACTCTATTCTTTTGTTCTCCCTTCCAAAATATATAACTTCATCCTTTCCCACATTTTACTCCATGCACCAACTTTTTGCCTGATTAGTTAGCCTATAAACTGTTTGTGTCCCTCTCAGAACATGCCTTTTCACCTATAATATTTTGGCTCATCTGCTTTCAATGGCACAAATTCCACAGACTCGGCACTCCTTGGGTAAAGAAATTTCTCTTCATCTTAGTCCTAAATGGCCTACTCCAAATCTTTAGATTGTAACTCCTGGCTCTGGACTCCCGGTCATTGGGAACATCCTTCTTGTATTTACCCTGTCTGGTCCTGTTAGAATTTTATAGGTTTCTATGAGATTCCTCCTCGTTCTTCCAATAATGTAGTCCTAACTGATCCAGTCTCTCTTCATGTGTCAGTCCTGCCATCCCAGGAATCAGTCTGGTAAATCTTTGTCACACACCCTCATTAGCCAGAACATCCTTCAAAAGTTGCACCCTGTATCTACATGTCATCTCACCAAAGCCATGTACAATGGAGCAAGCTATTCTGCTACTGTGCTCAAATCCTCTTGCTGTCAAAGCCCCATACCATTTGCCTTCTCCACTGCCTGCTGTGTCTGCATGCTTACTTTCAGTGATTGGTGTACAAGGACAGTCAGGGCCTGTTGCACTTCCCGCTTTCCCAATTTGTTATCATCAAGATAATAATCTCTCACTGTTTTTGCTGCCACAGTGGATAACCTTTCAGTTATCCACATTGTTCTTCATTTGCCATGCAGTTGCCCACTTACTGAACTTGTCCAAATCACACTGAAGCATCTCTATATCTTCTCTATCCATTTTGTCATTTGCAAACTTTGAGATGTAAATTAGTGCTGTTTTCTAACTCATTAATATGTAATATATAAATATATACAGAATGCATAACAATGCTTTTCACTGTATCATGAGACATTAATAAATCAAGTCGTACATAATATATCCCACTAATCACTGGCTGCCATTTATGGAAAAGACCCATTATTCCTACTCCTTGTTTCCTGTCTGCCAGCCATTCTCGACCAGTACACTACCCCAAATCCCATGTGCTTTCAGTTTACGTACTAATCTCTTATGTGGGACTTCATTGAGAGAAAACATCTGAAATTCATAGTAAACTGCACCATATACCCTTTGTGGTTTCTTGCTGGCTCTTTGTGGTTAGCTGAATGTTTTCAATCATACCATATGGACTCTCTTGGCTTCCTGACAAACTGTAGTTAAATTCATGGCTCTGTAATTTCCTGGTCTGCCTCTGTCACCTCTCTGAAATTGAGAGTGATGGGTGGGATTGTGATATTCATTCTTCAATGTCCAAATCTTTGCAGTTCAATCTACAGAGCCTTGAGGTTTACTGTCAAACCTGTAATACCTAGTCGGTCATAGTACTGTGTCCACATTGTGTCATATATGGTTAGTTGCAGCACTGTTTTAAAATCCTGTAATAACAGGCTGTTTGTATTATTGTGTCCTAATCCTCTAATACTGGGTTGTTTATATTACTGTGTCCAAATCCTATAATACTTGCTGGTTATAATACTGTGTCCAAATCCTGTAGCTTTCTGCACTATCATGTGAATTGAAAATGCTGTTACAGCTTTGGGTGATGAGGGGATGACGTGTGACGAACAGTGCAACAAAAAAATTTAAATCTTTGTTTTTATATTTGTTGATAATTACTATCCAAAACAGAACCACATGTAGTGTGGTCAAGATGTCTGCAAAATGTGAGCTGAATAAGACTATTGTATTTCTCAATGTGCCAGCAGCAGCACTAAGTGGGGATTGTTTCTGATTTTTTTTTTTTCCCCTGTGCAGCTGAGGGGGACCTGAACCATCTTCACAGTCCTAGCAATACCTAGCTGACAACTAATGGGAATGAAGCCCAGAGTCATAGCTACCAATTGATGACAGGAGCAGAACACTGGGGTGGAAGCATTTCATTGGTGAAATTGGTGGCCTTCCAAAGCAAAAGTTAGGATTGATTGTTGGTTTTATTCACTGAAAGGGAGCTTGATATGGGTGCAGCTCTTCCTGACCCTGATATAGAATTGTGCCAAAGTTTAGCATCCACCCACCCTTTACCCTTGTGCCCCTTGTAAGGTGTGTGTGTGTAGATTTTATTTTGTTCTGTTTTTCAGCTGTGTGAAAGTGGAGGAGCATCAAGCTGTCGACATTGACTTGTACCATTGTCCAAACTGTGCCATATTACATGGAGCCTCCCTGAGTAAGTATAAATCTGGAAACATTTGCAAGAAAACATCCTACTTTCTAGGGAATCTCCTACTGGACTGGGAACATTAACTCTTTGTCTCTCTCAACAGATGCCAGTGTTTGCTAAATTATTTTGAGGCAAGCAAAGTTGAAATTGTTGGAGAAACTCAGCAAGTCTGGTAACATCTATGAAGAGAAAGCAGAGTTAATGTTTTGAGACTTGTGGCTCCTCAGATGAAGTAAAAGTCTTTGGAAACTTTTAGATTACAGAATGTTAGCTTTCATTCTTTCAAACCCACTCCTAGAATTTCTGATCATAAGTCATAGAATTCCTACAGTGTGGAAACAGGCCTTTGGCCCAACAAGTCCATACCGACCCTCAGAGCTTCCCACCCAGACCCATCCCTTTAATCTACAGATCCCTGAACACCAAGGGCAATTTAGCATGGCCAATCCACCTAGCCATAACATCTTTGAAATGTGGGAGGAAACCGGAGCCACCGGAGGAAACTCTCACAGACACTGGGAGAATGTCTGTGTGGAGTCTGCGCAGTCACCCATGGGTGGAATTGAACCTGGGTTCATGGTGCTGTGAGGCAGCAGTGCTAACCACTGAGCCACCATGACATTTTCTAGTTTTAGAAAGTTTTTGCCGAATAGATTTTTCCAATCTTTCTTAGGCACTGGCACCCTAAACAAGCCAGCAGCTTACAATGGGATTTGTCAAAATTGCAGGTTTGAGTGTTGAGCCACAACCAATTTTGGGGGGGTCTTGTAGACGAGCTACGGACCAAAATAACATTTGGTAATCATAGTTCACTGGCAAGACATGGAAGACTGAAAGTTTCTTGAAGCTTGGCAGCTGAAAGAGACTTTGCACTGAAAAGAACCAAAATATGTAGATTCACACTAATGTTGGTGTTCAGTCAAGAGAGCTGTGGGGCACCTTGATTTCTGGACAGTGGCAATGTTACTGGATCATATTTGAAAGAGGAAGCTTATGTAGCCATTTGAAAGGCATGATGGTCCTTTGTAGAGTGGAAGAGGTGGTTTGGCACCAAGTCACCAAATGTGTGAAAGCCCTTAATGTTTGGTCAAGCAGCTGGTAATATGAGGCACATTGAAGACGGCTGTTGCTGAAAGATTTTGTTGGGGAGAAAGATCCATGCTCTCGTTTCTCCACCGCATGCACTCGCGCACTCCCGAACCTTGGAACCTTTGGAATCATTGGCATAAGGAAGGTCTTCTCAGTGACACCCAATAGTAGTGTTAAAAATATAGGATGTGTATTGATGCCCTGATCCCTGGGTGGGATCAGTGACAGAAGTCACAGGTAAATGCATCCCAAATTCTCCTTCCCTCCTACCCCACAACATTTGTTTAGGGCCAGAGTGATGACTAGTTGTCCATGGCTCCAGTGCTGAAGAGGTGTAGCAGCTAGAAGTTCTGTATGCTGCTAATTCTGCAGCTCACTGTGGTAAAAGTAGCTGTTCCAGAAACACATTTTGATCTTGCTTTGTATTGGTTGGAAACAACTTCTCCCTGTATTGCTACTTCAACCATTTCAGCTTCAATGGAGAATGAATAATTCAGATGAGGTGCATTTCTAATCTTTCATATAGATGGCACAAATGAGAATGTTTCTCATTCTGCACAGTTCCTTTCAAGTATCCTGTAGGGATCATTTTGTGACTCATGACTATTTGAGGTGATGTGTGACTAATTAAAAAGGAGGGGTTTGCTTAGATGTTGTTTTTGAGATTTGAGAAAACATATTTTGCTTGGATAACAGAATTGACTGATGCCAAATGATGTAACTAACTGCTATGCTTATGGTGGAGCTTCAGAAAAACTGAAAGAACTGCAAATGCTGGAAGTAAGAAACAAAAATAGAAATGGCTGGAAAAAAACTCAGCTGGTAGCATCTGGGGAGAGAAATAAGAGTTAAGATTCTGGGTCCAGTGACCCTCCTTCAGAACATTCTGAAGAAGTGTCACTGAACTCGAAATGGTATCTCTGATTTCTGTCTACAATGCTGCTAGACCTGTTGAGTTTTTCCAGCAATTTCTATTTTTGTGACAGTGAAGCTCGACATTTAACATCTCCTGTGACCATGTTGTAAATGAATATACTAAAATATCTCCAGGGATGATTGACACTAATTATTGCGCATTAAATCTTATAATTTAAGGATTTTTTTTTCACTGGGAAGGGGAGTTGATTTGTAAGGGGAAATTGCAGGCTGAAGTTTGTATTGAACAATGAAATGTAAACAGTTATGGAAGATTGAGCAACTATTGGCAAGTTTAAAAACCTGAGAAATGTAGGTGGATCCTCACTGGACGGTGTTGGAGGTTGGCACATTAGGTGTTGTTGACGAATGCAGATTACCAGAAGTTAATAGTTGGCTGTATAAAGACAAATTATAGTTTCCACGCTCTGCTGATGGGGCAAAGCCCAGCCATCCTGACTGGATGGTGGGGAACCTGCTGCATTTTGGGGATGGGTTTATCTAAGCAATCGGGCAGATACATACTACATTATTCAGGTACCATGGGATTCTTCTTTTTTAATCATCCTGCTCTTTTTTTTTTTTTAAATTTGGACTCAATAGCTGTAATTCCTCAATGGATTTGATTCCGTTGATCTGAATTATCACAGACATTACAGTTTTTGAATCTGATTATTAATTAGACTGTTCAGCAGGTTACTGTTCATTAGAGATAAATAGACGAATATCAATGTTAATTTTGCCCTGTATTCAAAGCACAGGGTAATTCTTGAGTTGCAGCTGTCTCTGAGCGTGTCCATTGTACAGTTCTTGAACATCATTATGAACGCAAATGCTTGAAGGAACTAAACTGGCTAGACTCGACTCTTGTTGAGTATATGCTTAGTTCTAGATTGAGTATTTGTTGAATATTTCCAATGGCGAATTGGTACCTGTTCTGGGATGCCTGAGTAAGTTCTGGGTTTCTCTAGTTTGGCTTGATTTCAACTTGGCTGATATGAATCTTGCCGCTGACCCAAAATGATTTCCTGTGGACATTTTGAGCCAATTTCATCCACTGTTTTGTGCTTTGTTTTTGTATCACAGTGAAGAGACGGAACAACTGGCACCGACATGACTACACCGAGACTGCAGATCCTGTTAAAAAGATACAGGCAGGAACGCCAGTTTTCATCAGGGAGCTCCGAGCACGGCATTTTTCAAGGTATAGGCAACCATTTGTTGTTTGGTGTTGTTCCAATCCCCTCAGTCTATCCCCTATTTCCAACATCATTCTATTTCCCCATCCCCCTCCCACTCCTCTACCCTTGTGGTGGTGAAGTGTTACTCTCGCTTGACTAGCAATCCAGTGGACCAGACTAATATTCTGTGATCGTGGGTTCAAATCCCATCACAGCAACTGATGAAATTTGCGTTCAATAAAAGAGAACTGAGATATAGAAAGCTGGTCTAATGCAACCATGTAACCACCGTCAATTGTTGTAAAAACTCACCTGGTTCACAAATCCTCTCTTAAGGAAGGAAATCTGCCATCCTTATCTGGTCTGGTTGAGATGTGAATCCAGACCCACAGCAGTGTGGTTGACTCTTGACTGCCCTCTGGGAAATTAGAGTTGAGCAATAGATTCTTGCTGAGCTGGCATCGCCCACATCTCTGAACAAAAAAAAATGTAAAGAATAATTATCAGATTCGCTGACTCGTTTTTCATTCCTAGTAACTGCAAGGGTGATCCAAGTGGTCTTGGGTTCGAAGCCAAGCCTCTTATTGGAGGAACTGATAGACCAGGGAACAAGATTTTGACAATCAAAAGGCATCCTTGTGTTTAAAAGGGATTTTGAACTTTTCCTTGGCTACAGTTCTGCACTGGCATTGTCGATGATCAACGTTACCCAAGTTTATGCTTGCCTCAGTGGTATGTTGCACGTGTCAGTGAATAGGTGTTGTGAAAGGAAGATAGAGGAAGATTTTCTTTTAAACACCACTTTTGACAACCATTAGATTTCACAAAACCCTTCATAGGAAATATTTATAAAGTACACTCTAAGCGCAAGACAAAAGCTTCAACTTCTGGTTTCCTTTTAACAATGTCTAAGTTCTTTACTACCAAGCATTGACTTTTAAAGTGTAGTTTTAATGTTCGGAAACCCTTTAGGACAGAAAGGGTCAGAGGAAAGGAATGGTGTGCAGAATGTAGGAGTGATTGAAACAAGCACTAAAAGTGCTGGAAAAACTCAGATCTGACAGCATCTCTGCCGACCGAAACAGAGTTAGTGTTTTGAGCCCAATGTGACTCACTTCAGATTTCCAGCATTTGCAGTATTTTCCCTTTGTAGGAGTGGCTGAGTCTCATTTTTGTTTCTTTTTTTTGGGGAGTGAAAGGGAGAAGTTTGAAAATTGTTTGGGGTTCAGTAGGTTTGTAAGAGGGGGAAAGTTGTCAAGTGAAGGATGAGTCAGTCAGCAGATAAGTTTTTAAAATAATTGTTTGCAAATGACAAAGGCATTGATGAGGGCTTCAGCAGCCAAACTGAGGAAGGTGAGGTTGATAAAGGTGTGGCAGTGATCTAAGTGATTGCTTGTGAAGTTTGTAACTACAATTGGCGTTTTCTGTTGTCCCATGGTTATTACAGCATGTTTATCTACTGGTGTCAGTGAGCTGCATAATTCTCATCTGTTTGTTCCCAAAGTGCCAGTGAAATTCTCATCAAGCTGCACGGTACCCAGCTGACACACAAATACCTGGAAAAGCACGGGTTTGAATTTCCCATCATGGTGTCTAAAATAGATGGACTTGGAATTGTTCTCCCATCAAGCACCTTTTCTGTCAGGGATGTGCAAGAATATGTGGGTAAGTGATGACTCCACCCAGTGTTAACACACAATACAGCCACAAGCAAAGTTTGCCAGTGCTGCATGTTTGCAGTGTAGCTCCCCTGTCCTGGATATTGGAAGGTGGGGATGAGGAATAGATGGAACATCTCAGAATGTTGCATCTAGTGCAGTGGAGGCCAGCCAATGCAAAGTTTTTCCCCTTTGAGTACTTGTCTAATTCTCATTTGGAAGCTTTTACTGAAACTGCTTCCTTTTTCGTTCCAGATTGTGATAGCTCACTGGGTAATGAAACAAAATTTCATTTCTCCTCTGGTTCTTTTGCCAATCACCTTAAATCTGAGTCCTCAGGTTCTAAACCTTCTGCCTCTGGAACCAACTTCATCTCTATTTACACTCTTGTATTCCTTCATTATTTCAAATACTTCTATTAAATTTCCCCTTAACTATTGTCTTCTCCAGGGAGAATTACCCCGTTTCTCTTGGCATCCATCTAACTGAAGTCCTGCGTCTCTAGTACCATTACAGTACACGTACTCGGCACCCTTTCCAAGACCTTTTTCATTTTTTTTTTGTGGTTTCCAGATTTGAATACATTACTCAACATTCTTCTCAATTTGTGCTCCAACCTTTAAAAACAGTTGTGTACGGACACCCCTAGGTCCTTCTGTTCCTCTGCCCTCTTTAACCTTTTGTGTCCTGTTTTTGAGATTAATTTTCAACCTGTCCTAATTATTGTTGATCATATTTCAGTCTCTGTAGTATTGTCTAAGCTTGTTGTATCAAGTTCTTCTCAGTTGCCTGCTACACAAACTGCATATTCAGCCCATTCTACCCTCCACAAAAGTGCAGCTCCATCAACCAGCTAGCACTCGTCTGAATTTTGCGATTATCTAAGACCACTCTACTGTCTGTCAGCTTCTAACTCCCATCAGTTGTCTACCCCAATTCTCAGGGCCATGTGTTCAGCCACTTTCCCAATTCACTGGTCGGTATTTAATCACTTCCTCCTAATTCGTCTCCTCAAACCCATGAATATTTTGCTGTACTACATCTACAACATAGGCTGTTATTTGAGCTGTTTCACAGCTGTAGTCGGGTGAAGGGTTATCCTTGTCTAAATAACGTGGCTTCCAGATATATCTGAATATGAATTTTTAATCTCTCAAGGTGGTGAGAAGGTGATCGATGTGATCGATGTGGCTCGGCAAGCTGATTGTAAGATGAAACTGCAGGAGTTTGTAGAATATTACACTGCTCTCCATCGAACCAAAGTATTAAATGTCATTAGCTTGGAATTTTCTGATACAAAGTAAGTTGCTTGTGGCTGGATATTTGGAAATGTAGCTGTGTGTACAGTGTTGGCATTTGCAATACAAAGTAGCTTTGACTGTTTGTTTTCTGTGCCAATACTGTGCCAATACACCTGGGTCTTTACAAAGTACATTCGACATTCTTGAGCCATCCTAAAGTGCTCAAGGCCAGTGAAACACTTATGAAATTGAGGCAGTTTTCAGACAATAAGATCCTGCACACAGCACTGAGATCATAGAATCATAGAATCCCAACAGTGTGGAAGCAGGCCATTCGGCACTTCAAGCCCACACTGACTGTCTGAAGTCCATCCCACCCAGACCCCCAACCCCCTACTCTATCCCTGTGAGTGTGCATTTCCCATGGGTATTCATTTAGCCTGTCCGTCCCTGGATGCTATGGGCAATTTCCCATGGCCAGTCCACCTAACATGCACATCTTCTGGAGGAAACCGGAGCACCTGGAGGAAAGCCATGCAGACGCTGGGAGAATGAGGGTGGAATCAAACCTGGGTCTTTGGTGTTGTGAGGCATCAGTGCTAACCACTGAGCCTACCAGATCACCAACCATTATACGTAATCTGTCATTTACCACCAAAAACCGTGTCTGTTTTCACAAATATACTTGTGACATTCAGAACGCAGTTACCACCATCCCTGTCAATTTCTCCAGTGGGGGAGGGCGAGCAGTGGGGTGGGGGGAGAGGATAAGCCAGAGAAGGGGCGTGTGCGAGGGGATGGGGCCGAGTGATGGGCGGTGGGGAGAGTGGACTGAGCGTGCAGGAGGGAGGTGGAGGTGGAGGTGGGGAGGGCGAGGGGCGGGAGGTGGGGAATGGGGGAGAGAGAGCGCGAGGTGGGGAGATGGTGGGCGGGAGGGAGTGAGCACTGGCAGGTATGGGCAGGAAGGAGTGCGGGCAGGTTAGAGGAATGTGTGGGCGAGAGGTTGAGGGAGGGAGCAAGCAAGAGCAGGAGGGCGGTAGGGAGTGACTGCGGGAGGGGGACGAGGGCGAGCGGGTGGGAGAGGGGAAGGGAGGGCAAGAAGGAGAGATGCCATGTGCGCGGCGTGGAGGGAGCATGGGTGAGACAGAGTGCGAGTGCACCACTAGCGAGGGCGAATGGGAGAAGGTGAGCTGGGGTGAGAGTTGAGAGAGAGCTATGTGGTGCCCATGCAATGAGTGGGACAGCGAGAAGGAGAGTGTGGTGGCGCGTACGCACGAGAGAGGGGAGAGAATGTGAGAGGGTACACGCCAGGGGAGTGTGGGAGTGAGGGGGTGCGCCCACATGCACAAGTGGTAAAGTGGGGAAGAGGGAGAGAGTGACGGGGCATGTGAAAGGGGGCGAGAGAGAGAGAATGAGGGGGTGTGCATGTGTGGGAGGGAGAGAGAGAGACAGCGCGCACCTGTGAACGGGAGTGTGAAGAGAAAGTGAGGGGGCACATGAGTGAGAGGGGGACGTGTATGTGAGAGGAAAAGAGTAAGGGGGTGCATGCAAGTGGGCGCGAGAGTGTGAGTGAGGGAGAGAGAGAGAAAGAGGGTGCATGTGTGAGGGAAAGCGTGGAGAGAGAGAGCTCGTGAGGGAGAGAGGGGAGAGAGAACGTGAGGGGCTGCGCGCATGTTGGAGGACATGCATGAGAGAAGGAGAGTAAGGGGGCACATGAGAGGGTGGAGAGAGAGTGTGAAGGTGCACGTGTAAGATGGAAAGAGCATGAGGGGGTAAGTGTGAGGGGGCATGTATGAGAGGGGGAGAGAGTGAGGGGCATATGGGCGCCTGAGAGGGAGAAGTTTTGAGCGAGAGAGAGGGAGAGGGTTGAGAGAGAGAGAGAGAAGTTGGTCGAACAGGAGAGGTGGGGAGAGAGAACAAGGGGGTGCGTGAGCAAGAGGGCGCTGGAGAGAGGTTGAGGGGAGAGCCACTGTTTCTATTGTTCCCGCCATTAGTGTGGCTCCTGTTGTCTCCATCGCACTTGCTCTTGCAGTCTTGCCCCCCCCCCCCCCCCGCCCTTTGGTCTCACCCTCTGCCTCTTGCCCTTTCCCCTTCGCTGTCTGTCTTGGTCTCGCCCTCTCACCGCCTCACCCTCGCCCTCAGTTGCCCTCGCGGTTTCGCTCCTGCCTGTCCCTGCATCCACGCCCCCTCATTGTCCTGGTGCCGCCTTTGCTCTCTTGCCCTCACCTTCTCAGTCATGCCCCTCGTCATCCCAGTGTCGCTGTCACCATCTCCCTCTCGCCCTCGCTGTCTCATAGTTAGGTGCTCATCCAGATGGGATATTTTATCTGGATTTGCTGGAGGCTGTGACTTTTTAAGTCCGCAGTGTGTCCTTTGGCTGTGCACACTTTCCCTGTGTGGAAATGAGGTGGGGTCTGGTGTGATCATTGATCCCGGGGGTCTTTCTGGCGGTTGGGGAGGTGTCTAGTTCAGGATGAGAGAGGTTGGGGCCGGGCGATAGGGTGGGGTATTCCAGAGTGTGCATGGGAAGGAAGTCCTTCTCCATGTCTCTGACCTGTGAAGGCCCTTGACCTCTTCCTGAAGCTGGCTCAGCTGCACCTCCGCTCTCGGGAATGTTTCATCGACTGCTCTTGTCCTGCACCGGGATTGACTTACCTCCCCTTGACCTGCCTCAAGAAGGCTCTGATTTGATGGGTGGAGGTGGTTTTCAAACTCTCCAGCTGGAGTCCCAGTCCTCTGCTACTCACCTTTTCGGTGGGTCGTACATGATTTTACTTCTCCCGTCATTTATATGAAGAATATAGTGTGAAAGGTAATCCTGGTCAGTGTTGAATCTCTATCCTGAGAAGTGAGGCACTGATTATTGGTTATACTGATGCTGGTCACTTGCGGTGGGCTCCTTGATTCGATGCCTGCTCCCTGTGTCAAGCTGCTGTTTTGTTTTTGTTTGTGTACAGGATGTCGGAGCTGGTGAAAGTTCCTGATATTGTTCAGAAGCTGTCCTGGGTAGAGAATTACTGGCCAGAGGATTCCTTTTTTCCCAAACCGTGCGTTCAGAAGTACTGCTTGATGGGAATGGAGGACAGTTATACTGACTTTCACATTGACTTTGGGGGGACCTCTGTCTGGTATCATGTACTGTGGGTAAGTAGCTCTAGTAGCAAGCTTGACCTAGGGTAGAAATCAAGAAAACCTTTATCCCCACACTCCCCATCTTGCTTTAACACTGTGTGGTTCGCACTTTAATGTAAAGACACACAGAGAGTCAGCCTCTTCAGGGGAAGAAAGAAAGAGAGAGAGAGAGTCCACCAGCTCCTTTGGTGGAGGGCAAGAGAGACACAGCCCATTCGCATGAGGGGCGAGAGAGTTGGTGAACACCTTTGCTGGAGAGAGTGGGCGGTGTTGACAAGGTGAAGGAGGGTCCCAAAACGTTAGAAGACAAGGAATGTGCGGAGAGTGAGTTAAAGAGTCAACATCTATAGGTGGACAGGGAGAGAAAGAGAGCGAGATTTAGAGAGGGAGAGGGAGAGAAAGAAAGTGTCGTTGAGGAAGTATGGGTTAGCGTTGGAGCAAAGGTGTGGGGGAGGGGGGAGAGAGAGAATCAGCACCTTTGGGTCAAGGGTGGGTGGTGGAGAGAGTAAAGAAAGATGAGAGAGTCAGCACCTCCAGGGTGGGAAGAGTTGAGAGGGTGAGGAGGGGTAGAGAGAGTCGTCATCTTCGGGTTGGCCGGGGGTAGAGGGAGAGGGAGAGAGACAGTCAATGCCCTGAAGGGCAGGGAGTGAGTGTAGTCAGACAGGACAGTTTCCTTTTATGTGACATGATGTCTGTTCTGATTTGATGCTCCTAGCGTATTTCAGAGAACCTTACAGCATAAAGCAATCAGGTTCTCCAGATGGTGAAGGAGCCAGGTTTTCCATCTCCTGCTTCAGAGAGATTGAGATGGCCTGGACATCTCTCCAGGCTTGTGGAGAAAGGAAAGCTTCTGTGTCTGGAGCCTTGTCTGGTTCTTGGCACATTCCTTTTGCTGAAGGTTCATAATTGTTTAAATATCTTTGATAAATTTTGAAAGTTAAAATTTCCTCCACTGCAACATGAGAATTTGGCTCCCTAATTGAGCTCAGTTGCCTCGGTACAAAGATGGTTCATGGGAGACTGGCTGAAGAGTGAGTGTCTTTAGAAAACAAGCTGACATGGTTTCCTGGGCCCATGTGGCTCTCACTTTCTGCTCACAGCCTGGTTCACAAAATCTCCTCCCACAGCCAACCTTTAGGACATTGTATTCTTCCTGGCAGGAAGAATACAAATTAGCCACTTCCACCACATGCACAAGTCTCTGATTCGAAATCTAGAACATATTAAAAGGGTTGGTGGATATCTATTGTGAAAAGTTTAAAACATAAGCCAGGGCTATTTGATTTGGGACACTGGGAACAACTGTGCATCAGAACCACGTTTGGGTGGTGGCACAGATGGGCTCAGGGGATAGTGATCTTGACAGAAAATCTGGAGTCTGACTGGTTCTCTCTTTGACTTGAGACTTGGTGGTTGACATTAAATCCTTATCACCTCAATTCTTGTTTTTCTTGCAGGGAGAAAAGCTGTTTTACTTGATAAAGCCAACCAATGCCAATCTTGCACTATATGAAAATTGGAGTGGTTCTGTTAACCAGAGTGAGACGTTCTTTGGTGACCAGGTGGACAAATGTTACAAGTGTGTCCTACAGCAGGGACAAACACTCTTCATTCCCACAGGTACGCTGAAAGACTGATGACAGCAGGAGCTTTTCATCCTCCCCATGAGTGGAGCAGAGAGTTCTTCCTGATTACCAGGGCAAAACCAGGAATAAAATAATCTCTGGGCAGAAGTGCACAATGCATCACACCACTCCTTGTTCATCTTGGATTTGTGCTTCCATTGTCACAGGTGGAAGGAGGACTGGGCTCTTTCTATTTTCTGTCTCTCATTCTTCCTTTTCGTTTGAACTGTGATGTCAGGAGGAACTCGGAACTCTGCCGGTCTGTTGTCTTTGGGGTTTATTTTTCACTTTGTACCCAGCTGTGATATTTTGCATCTAAATTTTATTTATCCTCCAACTATAATCATCTCAGTAATCACCTGAGCTGAAGGGAAATGGACTTTCCACAAGATAATGAGCACTTTGTTCTTCTGTTTATTACATAGTAACTGTGTGTAACATCAAGCGTTAGAGAAGGGACTGTTTCCATTCCAGAGTCACTGGCCTCTAACAAAGGCAAGGTTCGCATTTGTGCAGACTATCCAGTGACTGTTACCAGAAGGGTTTGGCTTTGACAGCATATTTGTTTAGACCGCATGAGATAGTCAGCTCCCTTCTTAGAGGGGAGAACCCTAATCAAATCAAACTACATCTGTATAATAAAATGCATAACTGTACTTTAATGTGTGAAGAGAAAGACTCCACTCATTCTCTTGAGTGCCATTCAGTCAGACCGTGACTGATCTGTATCTCACTTCACTTATTTGCTTTTTCTTATGTCTTGATACTTTGACCTAATGAAAATCTATTGATCACAGACCTGAAGGTTTTGAATAGCTCTCTTCCTGTATGGCTGTACAAAGGAAGGGTGGTTCAGATTTTCACTGTCCATTTGTGATCATGTCTCCTGATTATTAATTACTGTGGTCATCCTTTAGTTCTAATTATTGTGCAAGTGCACAACATCACTGACTAAAAGTTCCTAGTTTCCTTCAATATCTTGTTGGCTGATGAGCATAGTGATAATGTTCCTGTATGACCAGACCTAGGACTATAAAAAGTAAAATCTGGGGTGGGCATCACTTTCATTGGAGGGGAATAGCTCTGTATCAGCCATTGTGGATTTCAATTAGTAAGAGGCTGAATGGCATTAGTTATACCTCTGTCCAAGTTAGACCAAGTTGGCAGTCTGCTATTCAAGAGGTGGGGCGAGTAAAGCAGCCTCCAATATAGAGCAATACAAAATTAGATACTGACTGCAGACAGCCAACACCCAACCTCTAGCTCTGTGAGGCAAGACTGAATGTAATCCAGAACAGGATTTCCCCATGTGTCTGCACATACGTGTGCCTATGTGACCATATACCTGTGCAGCTGCCAGCATAGCTTTGTGTGTGCATGTTGTTGTATTGATCCATGTGTCAGCCTTGGCTCAGTGGTAAATTTGCACCCCTCAGGCAGTCCATGCCCTACTCCTGGAACTTCCACATCTTTCAGTTGAAATGTTAAACTGAGGTCTTGGGTGACAGCTTGGGAACTGAAGTGTAGTTTACTTGGTGTCCTGGTTAATGCTGATTTTAAAAGACAGTGTTTATGACTGTTTCATTTCTGTTTGTGGAATCTTGCTGTTTGAAAATGGTCTGTTTATGTAATACCAGTGATGTCACTTCTAAAGTATTTCGTTGGTATGTCATGTTTGGGGATTTTTTGAAACTGTGGAACATGTTAAATAGACTTTTTATCAGCAGTTTCCCGATTTGATTCCTTGTACCTGATATCACATGGGCAGCAGTTGGACTCTTTGTTTACTTAGTGCCTCTGGGTCCAGACTTTAAAAGTTCTTAACAGTGCCAAACCTGATGTCCAGCAGGTATCCTGTGCTGGCAGATGAGGCTATGGGTGTATTATTGAAGGCAGGGTGGTTATGCTGTCTGTCGAGAATGGCTGAACTTGGGTAATGACAAATGGGTCATAAATGTTATGAAGTTGTATAAGAATTGAAAAACACTGTGTGGTCTCTTTAAGAGATTGTGCTTTGTCTGTGCTTGGAAGTTTGCAAGCATTGTGCAGAGAGCCCCAAATTAGAAACAAATGTATCAAAAGGCCTTACAGGTGACAGGCAAAATAGCAGTCTTGTTTTGATGTTTTGAGAACAAGATTGATTTTGGTCAATTAATTTAAACCAAACACTCAGCAATTCAATGCCAGTTGGATTTAAAAACTGATAGTGTTGACAACCTGAAACCAATCATATTATAAGAATTTGATTTATCATAGGGGATATATAAAAAAGCTTTTTTAAAGATCAGGGGAGAGCCAACTGCCAACTGTCAGGAGATAATACCTTTTAGCTCTCTGAGAAAGCACCATGTAATTAATCAAAGGTACCATGGCATTTTTAGCTAAGAGTCTTCACTGAGAAAGCATCCATGATAGCAAGATCAACAGAGGCTGGAGAAGGCAGAGTGTTCCAGAAGACACAGTCTGTGTGAACTTGGAGAGATTAAGTTTTAATTTATTGTTGTCTTATTAATTGGGTTTATATAAATGGGACTTGTGTTTATTTGAACAGTATTCCAGTAGAATTTAGTTCATTTAAGGAATAGTTAATACATAGAGGGAATTGTTCAGTTTGTTAGTATCTCTTTTAATTTGTTCATTATTAGGGTTAAATAAATAAATGGTTACTTGTTACTTATAAAGTGGAGATCAGGGATTTTCTTTTCTTTAACCATGCTTTTAACAGATTACAAGCTTCTCTGGGTGTTTTGGATTTAATTATTAGAAGGGAACCTTCACTCCCATCATAAAAGATTGGGGCTTGTGTTTTGGTTTAATTATCAAAGGTGTTCGACTTGGCCCTTCTCTGTAACACAAACCTCTCCAAATGGAGGAAGTGGCTCCAATGTGCTTTTATTCACTTGTGGAATATTGACATCGCAGGCTGGCCAGCATTTATTGCTGCCCCCCTAGTTGCCCTTGAGATGGTGGTGAGCTGTCGTATTGAACTGCTTCAGTCTGCATGCTGTGGTTAACTCACAATGCCCTTGGGAAGAGAATTCCAGAATTTTGACTCGGTGACAGTGAAGAAAGGGTATTATATTTCTAAGTCAAGATGGTGAGTGCTATGGAAGGGAACTTGCAGGTGGTGGTTTTCCCACGTATCTGCTGCCCTTGTCCTTCTAGATGGAAGTGGACATGGGTTTGGAAGGTGTTGTCTATGGATTTTTGGTAAATTTCTGCAGTGTATCTTGTAAATAGTACGCTGCTGCTACTAAGTGTCAGTGGTAGAGGGAGTGGATGCTTGTGGATGTGGTGCCAGTCAAGCGGGCTGCTTTTGTCCTAGATTGTATCAGGCGTCTTGAGTGTTTATTGGAGCAGCCCTCATCCAGGTGAGTGCGGGGTATTCCATCAGACTCCTGAGTTGTACTTTGTGGATGATGAACAGGCTTTGGGGAGTCAGGAGGTGAGTTACTTGCCATAATATTCCTAGCCTCATGACCTGCACTTGGAGCTACCATGTTTGTGTGGCAGGTTTAATTGAGTTTCTGGTCAATGCTAACCCCCCAAGATATTGATAGTGTGTGATTCACCATTGAATGTCAAGGGGCGGTGGTTAGATTGTCTCTTACTGGAGATGGCCATTGCTGAAATTTTATGGCATGAATGTCACTTGCCACTTGTCAGCCCATGCCTGGATATTGTCCAGATTTTGTTCCATTTGGACATGGACTGCTGCAGTACTGAGGAATTGCTAATGGTATTGAATATTGTGTAATCATCGGTGAACATCCTCACTTCTGATCTTGTGATGGAAGGAAGATCATTAATGAAGCAGCTGAAGATGGTTGGGCCTAGGACACTACCCTGAGGAACTCCTGCAGAGATGCTCTGGAGCTGAGATAACTGACTTCCAACAACCACAACCATCTTTCTACGTGGCAGGTATGACTCCAACCACTGGAGAGTTTGCCGCTTGACATTGATTCCAGTTTTGCTATGGTCCCTTGATGCCACATGCAGTCAAATGTGGCCTTGTTTTCAAGAGCTGTCACTCTCACCTCACCTCTGGAGTTCAGCTCTTTTGTCTGTCTCTGAACCAAGGCTGTAATGAGATCAGGAGCAGAGTGGCCCTGGCAGAACCCAAACTGGGCATCACTGAGCAGGTTATTGCTGAGCAGGTGCTGCTTGATAGCACTGTCGATGACACCTTCCATCACTGATGATCAAGCATAGACTGATGGGGCAGTAATTGGCCGGGTTGGATTTGTCCTGCTTTTTATGTACAGGACATGCGTGGGAAATTTTTCACTTTGCCAGGTAGATGCCAGTGTTGAAATTGTAGGGGAGCTGCAAGTTCTTGAGCACAAATCTTCAATGCTATTGCCAGAATGTTGTCAGGGCCCATAGCTTTGCACTCTCCAGTGCCTCCAACTGTTTCTTGATATCATGTGAATCGAATTAGCTGAAGAAAGGCTTCAGTGATGCTGGGGACCACTGGAGGAGGCTGAGATAGATCATTTGCTCGGCATTTCTGGCTGAAGATTGCTGCAAATACTTTTGTCTTATCTTTTGCACCGATGTGTTAGGCTCTTCCATCGTTGAGGATGGGACACTTGAAGAGCCTCCTCCTCCAGTGAGTTGTTTAATTGACAAGCACTGTTCACACCAGATGTGATTCAATCTAATCTGTTGGTTTTGGGATCACTTGTCTTTGTCACTTGCTGCTTATGTTGTTTGGCACACAAGTAGTCCTGTTTAGTACCTTCAACCAGCTTGACACATCATTTTTAGGTATGCCTGGTGCTGGTCTTGGCAGGCCCTCTTGCATTCTCCATTAAACCAGGGTTGATCTCTCAGTTCGATCGTAGTGGTTGAGTGGGGGAATTTGCCGGGCCATGAGGTTACAGATTCCTCAGTGCCACACAACACGGTGGAGGGTATTCTCAATGTGAAAATGGGATTTATCTCCACAAGTACTGTGTAGTGGTCACTCTTATCAATACTGTCATGTACAGATGCATCTGTCATTCAGACTGCACCGAATCATTTAAAATGATGTTATCCTGTATGTGTGTGTAAAATGATGTTATCCTGTTCAACCTTGAGCTGGAATCCCAACCATAACACTCCTTCAACTATCATCCATCAGTTATTTGTATTTGAGACTTTGCTGTTTGTGCTTCAATCGAGGTTTGTCCTTTGCCCTCTTTTCCAGGTTGTATTTTAACCCAGGCCTTGACTTGTACTTTTATCCAGATTGCATCAGTTTTCATGAGGGTTTATCCTCTTTCCCTAGGCTGGATTCATGCTGTCCTCACCTCCAAGGACTGCATGGCTTTCGGTGGAAACTTCCTGCACAACCTCAACATTGGCACACAACTCAGGTTAGTGGCTTTCCTCGATGCTCATTCTTGTTCCCACTTATTAGACCATACATAGAATAGTACAGCACATAAACGGGCCCTGTGCTGACCATGATGCCATTCTAAACTAATCCCCATCTACCTGCACATGATATCCCTCTATTCCCTGTCTGTTCATGTGTCTGTCTGAATACCTACACTTCTATCAGGGCACTCCACAGCTTCTGAATTGCCTGCAAAAACAATCCAAGTTTGTCCAACTCTCTTTATAGCTGATGCGCTCCAATCCAGGCAACATCCTGATAAACCTCCTTTTGCACCCTCTCCAATGCCTCCGCATCCTCCATATAGTGTGGCAACCAGAACTATGCACAGTTCTTCAAATATGACCTGACTAAAGTCTGCACCATGACTTGCCAACTTTTATATTCAATGCCCCGACTGATGAAGACAAGCATGCCGCCTTCTTTATCACCTTATTCAGTTGCATTGCCACTTTCACTGAGCTATGGTCTTGAACTCCAAGATCCCTCTGTTTTATCGATACTTAAGGTCCTGTTATTTACTGTATTTCCTCTTGTATATTACCTCCCAAAATGTGTCACATCACACTTATCAAAATTAAACTCCATCTGCCATTCACTGCCCAATTTTGCAACTTTCTCATTATGCACAACTCCTCCAATTTTCATTTGCAGACTTGCTAATCAGACAACCTATATTTTCAACTAAATCATTTATATATTACAAACAATGGAGAGGTCTCAGCATTGAACCCTGCAGAATGCCACTGAACTCCAGTCAGAAAAATACCCCTCCACAACTACATTCCATCTCCTATGACCAAGCCAATTTTGTATCCAAGTTGCCAACTTACAGTGGATACCATGTGACTTAATTTTCTGAACCAGCCTACCATGAGTGGCATTGTCCAATGATTTACTAAAGTCCATGTAGATAACATCCACAGCCCTGCCCTCATCAACCATCTTTGTCATTTCCTGAAAAAAAAACTGCTTAGTAAATCCTGTCCCTAAAAATTCTCTCTAATCATTTTCCTACCACTGATGTAAGGCCTATAATTTCCCATTGTGTAACAGAATCCGACAGGAGGGCAGGTCAAGGCAGCTCTGCCTTTGAATGGGCTGATCCACAAAATTCCTACTTGGGCAAAGTACTGAATACAAAAATTGGAACTATACGAGTCACTGGTTAGGCCAAAGCTGGAGTTGTATGACCGGTTCTGGTCATCACATTAGAGTAATTATCTCCTTCCTATGACAGTACAAAGGAAATTTGCAAGAATGTTGCCTGGACTTGGAAGTCACAACAATGAGGACCAATTGGATAGACCAGAGTTATTTTCCTTCGAGCAGAAGAGTCTGAAGGAAGATTTAATCAAGGCCTACAACATAATGAGGGGCTTGGATTAGACGGACAGGGAAGACCCGAATCCCCTACTGGAGAGATCAATAACCAGGAGACACAGCTATAACATGATTGGTAAACTTAGAAGGCCATTTGACCCCTTCAGCCTGCTCCAGCAGTCAAAATAATCATTGCTGATCATCAACTTGATACCCAGATTCCACCCTTCCTTGTCCTGTGATCCCTTTAGCCATTAGAGCTATATCTGTCTCCTTCTTTACCAATGATTTGGCTTCAACTGTTTTCTGTGGCAGTGAATTCCACAGGCACATCACTGTGTGAATAAATTTCTCCTTCTCTCACTCTTCAAAGGTTTATCCTGTATTCTTAAAGTATGATCCCTGGTACTGGACTCGCCTACCAATCAGGAACAATCTTCCTGAATGTAACATGTGTGATCCTGCTAGAATTCTATAGGGTTCTATAAGATCCTCATAACCACCGCCCCCCGCAACCATTTCATCTAAACTGCAATGAATACAATCCTAACCGAATCCCTCTCTCCTTATCTTCTCAATGAAGGACACTATTAAGGTTCCAAAAATATTGGGAACATGAGGACTAGTGAGAGCGAGGAACTGAAGGAAATCAGTATTAATGGCATTGGAGAAACTGATAGGATTAAAGGACAATAAATCCCCATGGCCTAACAATGTATGTCCCAGAGTACTTAAAGTGTCCTTTGAAATAATGGATGCACTAGTTGTCATCTTTCGAGATTCTATTGACTCTGGAGCAGTTCCTGTGGGATTGGAGGATCGCTAGTGTAACGGCACTATTTCAAAAAGGAGGTAGGCATTAAATTGGGAACTACAGAATGGTTAGCCTGACATCAATAATGGGGAAAATTATCAAAGATTTAGTAGCACACAACTTGGAAAACTGTCATAAGATCAGACAGAAATAGCATGGATTTACGAAAAGGTAATTACTTAACAAATGTATTGGGATTTTCTGAGGATGTAGCTGGATGAGACCATGAGGGAGAGGCAGTGGATGTAGCTTTCTTGGACTTTCAGAAGCCTTTCAGTAAGATCCCATGTGAGAGATTAGCATGTAAAGTTAAAGTTCATGGGATTGGGGTAGTATACTGCCATGGATAGAGAGCTGGTTGGCTGACAGGAAACAGTAGGAATAAACAAGTCTTTTTCCAAGTGGCAGGCAAGTGGTGTGCTTCAGGGATCAGTGCTTGGAGTGATTTTATGTTAATGGTTTAGATGAGGAAACTAGATATAATGTTCCAAGTTTACGTGCAACACAAAGCTGGTTGGGAGGGCAAGCTGTGAGGTGCATGCAGAGATGCTTCTGTGTGATTTGGCCAAGTTAAGTGAGTGGGCAAATGCATAGCAGAAACAGTATAATGTGGATAAATGTGACATTATTCACTTTGGCTAAAAATAGGAAGGCAGATTATTATTTGAATGGCAATAGATTGGGAAAGTGAGAGGTGTAACAAGACCTGGGTGTCCTTGTATGCCAATCGCTGGAAATAAGCATGCAGGTGCAGTCCATGGTTAAGAAGACAAATGGTGTGTTGATCTTTGCAGCGAGACAATGCGATTCCAGGAGGAGGTATGTCTTGCTGCAGTTTTGCAGGGCTTTGGTGAGACCGCACCTGGAATATTGTGTGCAGTTTTGGTCTCCTTATCTGAGGAAAGATGTTCTGGCTATGGAGTGAGTGCAATGAAGGTTTATCAGACAGATTCTTGGGATGGCAAGACTGACGTGTGACAAGATACTGGATCATTTAGGACTGTTTTCACTGGCGTTCAGAAGAATTGAAGGGGTTGGGGGATCTCATAGAAACCTGCAAAATTCTAATAAGATTAAACAAGGTAAATGCAGGAAGTATGTTCTCAATGACCTGGAAACCAAGGGTCACAGTCTAAGTAAGGATACAGGGTTGGCTCTTTAGGACTGTGATGAAGAGAAATTCTTTCACCGATAGTGTAGTGAGTCTGTGAAGTTCTCTGCCACAGAAAGCTGTTGAAGTCAAAACATTGAATATTTTCAAAACAGAGTTAGATACAGCTGTTGGGGCTAAAAGAATCAAAGAGTATGGGGAGAAAATGGGAATAGGATACTGAGTTGGATGATCAGCCATGATCCTATTGAATGACTGTGCAGTCTAGCAGGACTGATTGGCATACTACTGCTCCTATTTTATATTTTTTTAAAGGCTTGAGAATAGTTCTAGGGATGAGAAACATCAGCCATGAAGAAAAGAAGTTGGGACTGTTTTCCTTGGAATAGAGCATTCCAAAAGGAAATTTGATTCAAGTTTTCAAAATCATGAGAAGGCTGGACATATAGATATGGAGAACTGTGTTCTGGAGAAGAGTTATCTCACACTTGAAACATTAACGGTTTTTGTCTTGGAACAGACGCTGCCGGGCCTGCTGATTTTCTCCAGCATTTTCTGTTCTTATTGGGGAGCAACTGTTCCCTCAAAAGGATCAAGAATAAGAGCTTTCAGATTTAGGTAGGATTTACATTTAGATTTTTTTTATTGTCCTGTGTACTCTAGTACAGAAGTACAGAGTACAGTGAAAAGTGTATAATGTTGCCACACAGGGTACTGTCTTAGAAACAAGAACCTAGGTACAGAATCAGGAGAACAACGTAGAAAGAAAGAACAAAGTTAAGAATTACAGTAATTCTTAGTATTAGGTAGAAAATAAAGAAATAAAGCAAAGTCAAACATTTACAGCCTTTCAAAAGTGCTTAGCCACGCTGGGACTGCATTTCCTACAGGGGCTTAATCACTACCTCTTTGCCATGCTTACCCCACACAGCCCATTCCAGGAGTCATTGGATTTGAAGACATTTGCTGATGAAGTAAGTTTGATGGAGAAAAATAACTTTTGCATAGTGAGTGTTTCAGTTCTGGAATGAGAATAACCAAAAGTGTATTGGAGGAAAGTCCAGTGAAGGCATTCAGGAGGCCACTGGAAAATTATTAGAAATCTTATACCATGTTACAAGGAAAGGGCGAGAGTGTGGCACTAAGTCACGATGCTCGTTCAGGGTGCCAGTGCAGACATGATGGGCTGAATGGCTACCTGCTGCACCAGAACAACTCTGCATGGCCTTTCCTCAGAGCTGAGAATCTTGTTTTCCATAGCAGCACAACACAAATGTTATTACTTTGTGGCAGTTTCAAATGGTGCCCATACTTCGTTGTAGATTGCTTGACAATGAACAGGATGACAGAAACTGGCAGTTAGCACTAGGAAGATGGTTATTTACAGGTTTGGTGGAGTTGGATGGTTAGATGGGTAGGGGGCAGGAAAACTGTAAGAGCCACATGAATTGGCCAGTGCTTCATGGGAACAGTTGAAATCAGTGGTCCCCCAGCTCTTTGGCTGCTGATCATTTGGGTGAAGCAAAAGGCCGCATGGACCACATATTGATTCTAACCCCACCCCCAGCTATTACCTTGTCACAGGGAGCAAACTCCATCAGAATTATTTGGAACTTATCGAAGCTCTAAATATATCCAGGTTACCCTTAAATGTGTCAACGCTATTTGCTTCAACCATTGTCTGTGGTACCTTATCAGCTTTCTTTGCAGAAAGCAGTTTGTTTGCAATTTACTATTAGATCTTTTTGGTGATTATATTGGTTTACAGTCTCTTGTTATACACTTCCCCCACGAGGAAACATTCTCTGTATGTCCGGTAAATCCTTTCATCATTTTAAAAATCTGTCTTAGTCATTTCCCCAGTCTTCTGTTTTCTTGAAATGTATTGCCACACATTTCTGGGTCTTCCTTGTCAGTTTTCTTTGTACCTTTAGTTTTTTTTATAATATGGCAGCCAGAACTACTGCAATATTCTTGAGTGGTCTGACCAAGGTTCAGTATAGTAACTTTCAACTTTCATTCTTTAGAAATTAAACCTGTGCTTGGTCTGCCTTTTTTAATGGCCTTGTTAACATTTTGTTCAGTTTTTAGATTGAAGATCTTTGTTCCAGGTCTTTTTGTTCTTTCATCAGAACCAGCCCTGAAACATTGATTCTGTTTCTCTCCTCAGATGCTGTCAGATATGCTAAGCGTTTGAGCATTTTCAACATTTTCTGTTTCAGGTTCACATTTTACTTTGTGTGAATGGATCTAGATGTCTGTTTTCTTTAAGCTCACAAACCCCGTCAGGATCATTTCTCATTGTCATTCTCACTCCCAGGGTATACGAGATGGAGAAGCGACTAAAGACTCCAGAACTTTTCAAGTTTCCATATTTTGAGGCAATTTGTTGGTATGTGGCAAACAGCCTTCGGGAAACTCTAAAAGGTATGGGATGTAAATGAAGAGGAAAACACAGTTTAATTATTTCTTGTGATGCACCAAATGGTAGGAGGAAACTGTTCTTGTTATGAATCTGAGGAATTTTACTTTGCCATAGCTGTCACGTAACTTCCAAAACAAAGGGGGTGAATTTTAGAGAGGATGTGTTTGGCAACTGCTAGATACTTCTGCTTGAAGTTGACAATGTGAATACCTTTCTTAATTTATAAAGTTCATCCCTTTGAAACCAAATGAACTGTTTAGTTTTATTTGCAGGATGGTGAAGATTTATTAGAGTAGTGTTAAATTTAATGGTTGTGGTTGTACAGAATCTCTAAATTCAAGCTTCAGGTAGAGAAATGTGAGGTGATATGTTTTTGTGTGTTGAAAACTGAGATAATTACACACTTGTGACATATTAAAAGGAGCAGAGAGACTGAGTGAACAATGTGTAGAGCTGGATGAACACAGCAGGCCAAGCAGCATCAGAGGAGCAGGAAGACTGACGTTTCGGGTCTAGACCCTTCTTCAGAAATGGGGGAGGGGAAGTGGGTAATGAAATAAATAGGGAGAGAGGGAGAGGTGGATAGAAGATGGATAGAGGAGAAGATAGGTGGAGAGGAGACAGACAGGTTGAAGAGGTGGGGATGGAGCCAGTAAAGGTGAGTGTAGGTGGGGAGTTAGGGAGGAGATAGGTCAGTCCGGAGAGGGTGGACAGGTCAAGGGGGTGGGATGAGGTTAGTAGGTAGGAGATGGGGGTGGGGCTTTAGGTAGGAGGAAGGACAGGTTAGGGAGGCGGGGACAAGCTGGGCTGGTTTTGGGATGCGGTAGGGGGAGGGGAGATTTTGAAGCTTGTGAAGTCCACATTGATATCATTGGGCTGCAGGTTTCCCAAGTGGAATATGAGGTGCTGTTCCTGCAACCTTTGGGTGGCATCGTTGTGGCACTTCAGGAGGCCCAGGATGGACATGTCGTCTGAGGAATGGGAGGGGGAGTTGAAATGGTTCGCCACTGGAAGGTGCAGTTGTTTAGTGCGAATCGAGCGTAGGTGTTCTGCAAAGCGGTCCCCAAGCCTCCGCTTGGTTTCCCCGATGTAGAGGAGGCCACAACGGGAACAGCGGATACAGTATACCACATTAGCAGATGTACAGGTGAACATCTGCTTGATGTGGAAAGTCTTCTTGGGGCCTGGGATGGGGGTGAGGGGGGAGGTGTAGGGGCAGGTGTAGCACTTCCTGCGGTTGCAGGGGAAAGTGCCGGGTGTGGTGGGGCTGGAGGGGAGTGTGCAGCGGACAAGGGAGTCACGGAGAGAGTGGTCCCTCCGGAAAGCAGATATGGGTGGGGAGGGAAAAATGTCTTTGGTGGTGGGGTCGGATTGCAGATGGCAGCAGTGTCGGAGGATGATGCGTTGGATCCGGAGGTTGGTGGGGTGGTACGTGAGGATGAGGGGGATTCTGTTTTGGTTGTTATCGTGGGGAGGGGGTGTGAGGGATGAGTTGCGGGAAATGCGTGAGACACGGTCGAGGGCGTTCTCGACCACGGAGGGGGGGATGTTGTGGTCCTTGGGAAAACGAGGACATCTGAGATGTACGGGAGTGGAATGCCTCATCCTGGGAGCAGATGCGGCGGAGGCGAAGGAATTGGGAATAGGGGATGGCATTTTTACAAGAAGGTGGGTGGGAAGAGGTGTATTCTGGGTAGCTGTGGGAGTCGGTGGGCTTGAAATGGATATCGGTTTCCAGGTGGTTGCCAGAGATGAAAACAGAGAGGTCCAGGAAGGAGAGAGGGGTATCAGAGATGTCCAGGTGAACTTAAGGTTGGGGTGGAAGGTGTTGATGAAGTGTATGAACTGTTCGAGCTTCTCGTGGGAGCATGAGGCGGTGCCGATACGGTCATCAATGTAACGGAGGAAGAGGTGGGGTTTAGGGCCAGTGTAGCTACAGAAGAGGGATTGTTCCACGTAACCTGCAAAGAGGCAGGCAAAGCTTGGGCCCATGCGGATACCCATGGCCTCCCCCTTTGTCTGTAGGAAGTGGGAGGAATTGAAAGAGAAGTTGTTGAGGGTGAGGACGAGTTCGGCTAAGCGGATGAGGGTGTTAGTGGAGGGGGACTGGTTGGGCCTGCGGGAGATGAAGAAGCGGAGGGCCTTTAGGCCATCTGCATGGGGAATGCAGATGTATAGGGACTGGACGTCCATGGTAAAGATGAGGTGTTGGGGATTGGGAAATTGGAAGCTTTGGAGGAGGTGGAGGGCGTGGGTGGTGTCACGGACGTAGGTAGGGAGTTTCTGGACCAATGGGGAGAAAATGGAGTCGAGATAGGTGGAGATAAGTTTGGTGGGGCAGGAGCAGGCAGAGACAATGGGTCGACCAGGGCAGTCAAGTTTGTGGATTTTGGGAAGGGGATAGAAGCGGGCGGTGCGGGGTTGGGGAACGATGAGGTGGGAGGTCACCTGAGGTGATGAGGTTGTGGATGGTTTGGTGGTCGGGGTGGGGTCATGATCAAGGGGGCGGTAGGAGGAGGTGTCGGAGAGTTGGCGCCTGGCCTCGGCGATGTAGAGGTCAGTGCGCTATACTACAACTGCTCCTCCCTTGTCCGTGGGTTTTATGGTGAAGTTGGGATTGGAGCGGAGGGCTGCATGTTCTGTGGGGGAGAGGTTGGAGTGGGTGAGAGGGGTGGAAAGGTTGAGGCGATTGATGTCACGACGGCAGTTGGAGATGAAGAGGTCGAGGGAGGGTAGGAGGCCTTGGGGTGGTGTCCAGGAGGAGGGGGTGTGTTGGAGGCGGGAGAAGGGGTCAGTAGCGGGAGGGTTAGGCTCGCTATTAAAGAAGTAGAAGTTCAACATCCAAGCGTGAGCGGTATTTGTTGATGTTTGGGTGGAGGGGGACAAAGGTGAGCCCTTTACTGAGGACTGACTGTTCGTCCTCAGTAAGGGGGAGCTCTGGGGGGGATGGTGAAGACTCGGCAGGGCTGGGTGCTACTGTCTCCTCTGGAGCTGCTGGATGTGGAGGTGGTGGGCGGAGCGACGTCGGCATCAGTGGTGGGCGGAGTTGCGTCGGTGTCGGCAGTGGGCGGAGCAGGGTAGGCGGCGGCAGCAGCGGTGTCGGCAGGTGTGTCCTCAGTGTCTGTGGTGTTGGCCACGGAAATGGAGGCGGTGGCATCAGCAGTGGTGTCGATGGCGATCGCTGTCCCGGAAGTGGTGTACCCGGCGGCGGCGGATGTGATGTCATCCGTGGGTGCTCAGAAAGTGGCCGCATGGCCAATGGCGGCAGGCACATTGTGGGGAAGGTCCTGGGTAGGGTTGGGGATTTGGGGGGTGGTGGAAGCCAGTTTTGGGTGACAGGCACCAGTGAGTTTACCGTACTTATGGTTTTTAGTGTCCAATAAAGCTGAATAGAGTTGTGAGTTCAGGTTGTGGATCTTACGAAGAATAAAAAACAGGAGAGGTCCTTTGCAGATCTGGGAGAGAGAGGCTCTGAGCTGGGGTAGCCTTGATTGTAGTGCCAGGAGATGTCGGCGCATCGCTGCAAGTGTGTGTTTCCGGAGTCGCAGGGAGAAACGCTTCTGAAGGATCTCGATGTTCTGAATGTAGACATTGTCACGGTTGGGGCCAGAACACCTACGCTCGGTTTGCACTAAACAACTGCAGCTCCCAGTTGTGAACCATTTCAACTCCCCCTCCCGTTCCTCAGACGACATGTCCGTCCTGGGCCTCCTGCAGTGCCACCTGAAGGTTGCAGGAACAGCACCTCATATTCCACTTGGGAACCCTGCAGCCCAATGGTATCAATGTGGACTTCACAAGCTTCAAAATCTCCCCTCCCCTTACCACATCCCAAAACCAGCCCAGCTTGTCCCCGCCTCCCTAACCTGTCCTTCCTCCCACCTCAAGCCCCACCCCATCTCCTACCTACTCACCTCATCCCGCCCCCTTGACCTGTCCGTCCTCCCGGGACTGACCTATCTCCTCCCTACCTCCCCACCTACACTCACCTTTACTGGCTCCATCCCTGCCTCTTTGACCTGTCTGTCTCCTCTCCACCTGTCTTCTCCTCTATCCATCTTCTATCCGCCTCCCCCTCTCTCCCTATTTATTTCAGAAACCCCTTCCCCTCCCCCATTTCTGAAGAAGGGTCTAGGCCCGAAACGTCAGCCTTCCTGCTCCTCTGATGCTGCTTGGCCTGCTGTGTTCATCCAGCTCTACACCTTGTTATCTCAGATTCTCCAGCATCTGCAGTTTCTACTATCAGAGAGACTGAGTGGCTCAGATACAGAAATATTTAAAGGTAAGGAAACATCATGAGGCCTCTTTTTATGGGGCCCTAAATTCAATAAATTACGACCAGACACCACAGCATGGAGGGAGTGCTAAACCTATGTAATTTGACCATTGCTGAAACTTACATTTTGTTGAAACTTTTAGTCTTGCATTCCAGGCCACCATTGTAAAGGGGAGCAATGTTTTGTAACTTGCGAGAAGAGTGCGCTGATTTGTTTGCAAGGGGCCTTTGGTTGATGTGTTACCATGGAGAATGCACTCCTTAGAAGATGACTAACAACTAATTGCCAAGCTCTGTTTAAATTTAAACTGGGCACGTGGACTGATTGCTTCAGGCAACGCCTTGACTGATGAACTAAAAATGGCTATTACATTTTTTAGGTTGAAACAGCCACAACGTGTGTTCTTTCTGCAAAGACCAAGGCTCAGTGATTTAATATCCATAGTTTCCAGACTGGCAATCTTAAATTGGTTGTCGGCATAATACGTGGAACACTCTGGTTTATTAAACAAATATTGCTGAATCATGAAATCAGAACTGGTGACGGTCACTGGTTTTACTGGACCAAACATGAGTTGGTTGGGTGCAGTCAGTGCTTTGTTTGTTGCAAACAACAAAAGGGATGAGCTGTTTGATGTGATATATAGTCTTTGGAATGTGTAGCCTAAATATCTAACATCACATTAACACTGAATTTCAGATACCTCATTACTCATTTATGATAGACAGAATGTCATCTTGGTTTGATAGCACTTGTCAGTGTTTTTTTTTCTCATCCAGTATGAAAGGTTGTTGCTCTTGACATTGGTCTTGTGAATGTCCTGGTGAGTGCAAATTAAAAAGCTTTGATAAAATGTCTTTTTTTCAGTAATGTTCAAGGTCTCTACGATCAAATGACTATATCTGTATAAAACATTAGATAAGTCACAGTTTTGGGGATGTTGGCTTTGTGAGGACGTCAGCTCCTTGGAGAGGCTGTAGTAGTGATTCACAGAGATAATATTGGCTGAATAGGCTTTAGTCTTGACAGTTATCAAAATAATCTCTCTAATGGAATGGAGGAGGTTGAAGAAGAACCTGATCAAATGCAAACTGATTATATGGATTAAGGAAGGACTGTGTTATGGAGTGATTGGTTGGCTATTGTGTGAGTACTCCAACTCTTTTTTTTTTAAAAATTGATTATTTTTGTTTTTCAAATGATGTATTAGTAATAAATAAATAGTTTCCTTGTTTTATGGCTAAAAAACTAAATTTGAGTTCTTTTGATTCTGTGTTTAGAAATGCGGGAGGACAGTTGCCAACCGCAGGAATACCTAATAGAAGGAGTCAAGGCACTAATCCCTGCACTTAAATGCTGGATTCAGAAAGAGGTACAGTTTTAATAAAAATATCAACTAACTAGATAGATAAAGACAAAATAATGTGAATGCTGGATTTTCTGGTCAGGTCAAACAGCATCTGTGGACAGAGAAATTGAATGAATGATTCAGGTTGATGAATATCCATTAGGACTGCAGAACTTGTGGTAAGTTGGTAATCTTTGAGATCTATGAAAGGTACCAGAGAACTGGAAAGTGAATAAGATCCCTTCGCCCAAACAAGGATAGAAGGGAATGCTGATCCACAGGGTATCAGTTTAACATCCATGGTGGGTAAGGCTTTAAAAACGCCAAATAGGGTCAAAAGCAAATTAAAATACTTGAGGAGGACAGAAAACAGCGAGTCAGGTTAAATGTTTTTTCTGATTGGAGGCTGGTAGGCAGTGGTGTTTCCCAGTGCTGGAGCCAACACTTCCTTGGTACATGTCACTGTTTAAATGTGGAGTAAAATTTCAAAATTTGCCAATGGTACAAAATTTGGAAGTGGGGCCAACAATGAGGAGGATGCCCGCTGACTCTAACTCAAGGATAAGATAGTAAAATGTACATTCATGTAGAATTTAACAAAGCAAGTGTGAAGTAATGAACTTGGCAGAAGGGTTTGGGAAAACCAAAAAAATTTAGTATCGCAGTTCTAAAGTATGTAGGGGCAAGAGGTCAGGCTCATTAATAACTGTGTCTATCCCAGGTTATAGTCCAACAGGTATTTTTGAAAACACAAGCTTTTGGAGCGTAGCCCCTTTGTCAGGTGATGAAGGGGCTACGCTTTGAAAACTTGTGTTTTCAAAAAAAACTGTTGGACTATAACCTGGTGTCCATGTGATTTCTGACCTTATGCACCTCAGTTCAACACTTCCACATCTGTCTGTCCCTAGCTTCCTTTTTAAACTGTGGGCCACTTTTTAAACTGGCACCATTATTTGTAGTCTGAGAGTTTGGAAAATCATTAGCAGAACTTCTGTCATTTCTTCTTTTGCTTCCCTTAACAGCCTTGGATGTGTTTCGTCTGGGGTTGGCTCTGATCATTGTGCTCACTATTTCTGTAAGAGTAGTGCATTCATTAATGAACACTATTTTAAAATCCTCTTTTATATATATATATGTTTTGACTGTAGGGTTTGATTGAGCGCCCGAATGAAATTCCAGATCATATCAGACCAGGGCAGCTGATCAAAGAACTCAGTAAGGAAATTCGCTTTGTGGAGGTAAAAGCAGTAACACGTAAATTGACCTGTTGGAGCACTGATTGTATTTGCCACTGATGGTGTGAGTTTTATTTGTATGACTGGGCAGGAAGGACACAAGGCACTGGTTCTCTGAAAAGTCACCTGTTTTAGTACTCAGATGAAACTCTTAGCTTCAGGTAATATTGTAATTGAGATATAAGGTCAACCTTGTAAATCATCTCAAATAGTCCTATTTTGTAAAAGGTAGAAGCATTGCTCTAGCTGAGACTGAAGCCTGAATTCGTAGCCAAGTTCACTGAACTTGCCTGTAACAATTAGAAGAACAGGAACAGGCCACTCAACCTGTTGATCTGCTCTGCCATTTAATATGGACATGACTGATAGACCATTTCACTGCCTTTTACCCATATCCCCCGACTAACCCATTACACCATTGATAATCAAAATTTCATCAACCTTGACTTTAAATAAACTGAAAGACTGAGCATTTTTTAAGCCTGGTGGGGTAAATAATTCCAAAGGGTCACCAATGTTCTTAAAATAAGTCTCCTCATCTTGATCATAAATGGCATTCCCCTTATTTTTAAATTGTGTCCTGTGGTTCTAAAATCTCCAGCCTGGGAAGACCTCTCTCCTGCCCATCCCTTGTAGTTTTTTTTATAAGTTTCTATGAGATACAGCTCCTATCTCATACCTCTTTATCTGTTACTTTAGATTTCAAGAAGGCATTCAATAAATACACTACATCTATCAGTTTCCCTTTATCAATTTAGCTTGTTGTATCTTCAAAGAACTCCAGCAAATTTGGCAAACATTAAGCCCCATTTTTAAAAAACAAAACCATGTTGACTGTTTGATTATGTTAAGCTTTTTTAAAAGATTCTTAAATGTTTTTAAAATATTTCTTCCTTAATAATGGGCTCCAGTATTTTCCCAAACACAGGTGTTGGACTACCTAGTTTTATGCTTTCTGTCTCCCTCAGTCTTGATTGGAAGTATCATGTTAGCAGTTTTCCAATCTGCTGGAATTCTCCCAAAATAAGAGGAACAAAAGAAAGCCATGCAATGATATCATGTCTGATCTGACAACCCTCACTTCACTTTCCTGCCTTTTCCCCATAACTCACGATTCCCTTACTGATTAAAACTCTGCCTGTCTCAGCCTTGAATGTACTTGACGACCTAGCCTCGACTGCGGTAAACAATTCCACAGATTCACTATCCTCTGAGAGAAGAAATTCCTGCTCATTTCTGTCTTAAATGTGCAAATCCTTATTTAGAGATAATGCCATCTGGCTCAGGACTCTTCCCTGAAGGGGGGAAACATTCCCTCTGCCTCGACCCTGTAATGTCCCCTAAGAATCTTGTCTGTTTCAATAATGTTGTGCCTCATTCTTCTAAACGCCAATGAGTGCAGGCCCTACATACTCAGCCTTTCCCCTCAAAACAGTCCCTCCATACCTGGTATCAGTCTTGTGAGCCTTCTCTGCACTGCCTTCAATGCTAGTATATCTTTCCTTAGATCAGGGTCCATAGCACTTCACGGAATTTCAGTTGTAGCCTGACTCGTACATTTGATAATTTTAGTAAAACCTCCCTACTTTTATTCTCCATTCTCTTGAAATAAGGGCCAACATTCCATATGCCTTCCCTATTATCAGCTAAACTTGGATACCAGTTTATTTTTTGTGACTCACAGATGAGAAATCTCACATCTCATTGATCTGTAGCTTTCTGCAGTCTTTCTCCATTTCAAATAAAATTCAGCTCCTCTGTTCTTCCTGTCAAAGCGCAAAACCTCCCATTCCCCATTTTATATTCATCAGCCAAGTTTTTGCCTATTTGCTTAACCTGTCTATATCTGTCTGCAGACTCTCTGCCATCCTGACCACCTCTTTCCAACCTATTTTTGTGTTACCAGTTATGGAATATTTTGTCCTAACAACTCTGCTATTTCTATAGAAATGTTCTTTTAAAACCCTTGGATGCAGGCCATCAAGTCTTGGCAACTGCCCTTTTTCCTGAGCATTATGAAAGATCTGCTTAAATATCTGCCACTGTGCATCTACTGACTTTCCCCTTAGTTTAATTTTCCAGACTGTAGATGACTACTAACCATGAAGCCAAAATCAGTGTAGAGATTTATTTGGATGATTTTTGTGCCATTGTGTTCTCTGTGTAGGGAACTCCTTTGTATAAAACTTCTGCATTTGTTTCTGCAGGAGATGAACACAGGAAATAAACCCATAAAGTCTCAGGGAATCATGGCCACGGTGCCAGCTGCACGGGTCACTCAGGACAAGAGTTCCTCCTTCACTGTAAGCCCAAGCAAGAGGAAATGCAGGAGGCTAAGAGATCCCTCAAACAGGATACACTCTGACCTGGACATTCTGGAGCTCCATACACGAGCTGTTTTGAAGAAGATGGAGATGGCTCAGTGGGGTGAGGTGGGTGGCGTACACTCCGCACCTAATCTTTAAAATAGTGCAATGAATTCCCCTCCCAATGTATCTATGAATGTGTTTCATTAACAGGACGATATGTCTGGTTCCACGTTGAGAGTAAAGATCAGCAAATCCTCATCACCGTCTTCAACAGGAATTGAGAAAGGCCCCAGTGACAATAACTTAGAATTGGTGCTTTCAAAAGGAAGGATTATTAGGTATGTGCCAAGATGAAGAATGTTGTGCGTATTAAAAGAGCTTGCATTGGAAATAGTCCCACTTCTTCATCGATCCTCCCCATGTCCCACTTCCTGTGGACCCCTAGAAGCATTGGATCCAAGGCACGGCACCTTGCGGGAGTTCTGGAGGTCTGAAGCACTGACAATTTTTATATCAGCGCCAGCTCTATTCTTGATCAGTTCACCCTAAATTCACCAACTTCTCTTCTTGTAATCTTGTATTCTACACTGCTTCTAATCTTTGTCCAAAACAGATTTATTGGTCTCCTACTTCAGCCACTCTTCGTGGCACATATCCCAAACTGCAATAGTCCTTTGTGTTTGGGAAAATTCACTCAATGTCTCTCCCTAGCTCCTCATTTTGTGAAAATTGAAATCCCTTGCCATTGACAGTGCTTAAAAGTGCTTTCAAACACATTGTTTTAAAAAGGTCAATTAAATCTCCTCTTGGGCTGATCAGTCCTAATATGCCAAATCTTATTTCCTTCCAGTTTGAATATTGGAAGAGGTTTGAAACGTTTCTACCTTTTTGCCTGGCCATCCTGCGCCATGCATTGCCTTGCACAGGCAACCTCGGCTGGGTGCTGGTCCTGACATACCCATAAATCTCGAAGGGAAGCCAAAAGTGGCCCTCCCTGAGTCCCACTCTGCAGCAGCATGTCCATAGAACATGATCAAGGAAGCAATGGATGGCCAATTCCCATCTTGTGTTATATTTCAGGGAATCTTCTGCTTTGCCTCTTCCTAACCCTGTAAATGCATGCGTACTTACAAGTACACACTCTGGTGTGTGCATGCACTTTATAATTCAGAAAATCTTCCCACTCACTGTAATAATCTGTTGAACCTTTTGTTTTTAAAACCCTTCAGTCATAACAGGGACGAGTTGGAGTTCGATCAATGCAGTACAGACAGTGAAGCTGAAGTAGAGGAGCAGTCAGATGACCGGTGCAATATGCTGCATGAAGCAGATAGCTCTGATTGGGAGGACGAGAAACTAGAATCTCAAAATCCACCCAACAGTAAGTCTGGAGGCTTGCTAAGATACTGTAGTGCGTCTTGTCGAGCATGGATGCGGTGGCTATCAAGTAAGCTTTGTCCTGGATGGGGTTGAGTTTTTTGTGTTGTTGGAGCTGTACTTATCCAGAGAAGTGGAGAGTATTCCATCAACTCCTGATTTGTCTGGATAGTACACAAAACAATACTTTTCGCTGTATCTCAGTATATGTGACAATAATAAATCAAATCAAAGTCCACCTGCTGTTGGTTGACCCACAATGCCTTGAGGAAGGGAATTTCAGGATCTTAACCCAGTAATAATGAAGGAATGGCGGTATGTTTTCAAGTCAGGATAGTGAATGGCTTGGAGGAGAATTTGGAGGTGGTGATATTCCCATGTGTCTGCTGCCCTTGTCTTTCTTGATGGAAGTGGTTGTGGGTTTGGAAGGTGCTGTCTAAAGATCTTTGGTGAATTTCTGCAATGCATCTGCTGTTGAGCATCAGTGGTGGAGGGAATGAATACTTGTGAATGTGATGCTAAACAAGTGGGTTGGTTTTTCCTGGATGGTGTCAAGCTTCTTGAGTTGGAATTGCGCTGATCCAGGCAGATGGGCAGTATTCCATCACACTTCTGACTTGTATTTTGCAGATGGTGGAGGGGCTTTGGGGAATCAAGAAGTGAGTTAGTTGCCGCAGTATTCCAAGCCAATGACCTGATTTTGTAACCACTGTGTTTGTGTGGTGAGCCCAGTTGAACTCCTGGTCAGTGATAATTCCCAGAATGTTGGTAGCAGGGGATTCAGTGATGGTAACACCATTGAATGTCAAGGGTAGTGATTAGATTGTCTCCAACTGGAGACAATCATTGCCTAGCAATTGTGTGACACAAATATTACTTGCCATTTGTCAGTCCAAACCTGGGTAATATCCACTTTTGTGGCATTTTAACATGGATTGCTTCAGTATCAGAGGAGTCGTGAATGGTGTGAACACTGCACAATTATCAGCAAACGTCTCCATGTCTGAGCTTATGATGGAGAGTAGCTTATTGATGAAGTAGCTGAAGATGGTTGGGCCTAGGATGCTACCCTGAGGAACTCCTGCAGACATGTCCTCTAAGCTTATATACTCCAAGCCAGGCAATATCTTGATGATCTTCTTTTGTACCATCTTCAAAGCCTTCACATCCTTTCTATAGAGTGGCAACCAGAACTGTGCTCAATACTCCAAATGTGGCCTAATTAATGTCTTGCACACCATGACTTGCCAACTTTTATTCTTAATCCCATGCCTGATGAAAGCAAATATGCTGTAGACCTTCTTTACCACCTTATTAACTTGTATTCCTGTATTCAGGACTTACACCCTAAGATCCCTCTGTATATCAGTACTCCTAAGGCTCCTGCTATTTACACTTTGCTCGTGCAGTTGACCTCCCAAAATGCTGTAACAGAGGTGTGCTGGAGCCTCAACTTCTTAGAATTTTTGTAAATGATTTTGGTGAAGAAACTGAAGGTATGGTGCTGAATTTGCTGATCGATGTAAAGATGAATGGGAAAGTAAGTTGTGAAGAAGGCACAGGAAATTACAAAGAGGTTTTGATAGATGAATTGAGTGAGCAAAAATCTGGCGTATGAAATGTAATGACAAAGGATTGTGTAATCTGTGCTCGCAAACACACAACACTGTGTCTGACGTTGGATGTGATTCTGCAGTAGGACAATGTTTGCAGGGTTATCCTCTGTGCAAAAAAAACGTTGCACTGACAACCAATTTAGGATTGTCAGTCAGCCCTCAGTGTGGTGCACTTGGATGTACTCAACATTGTGTATATAAATGTGCAGGGCCCTGTTCTGATCAGACGAAATGTACACACGTTACGCCTGTTGAACTCAACAAAACAGGAGACAGTCATTTATGCTTCATTGGTCAGGGAATTGCCTTGAGAAAACTGCCTGCTTGGTGAAGATTTGGACAAAGCTTTGTATTCTCCATGGGTAACACCTCTACCAGTCTGCTTGACAACAAATCATCACTGTCCTGTCATGAACAGCTTGTACAATTTAGATTTCAGCAGTACTCTAGTTCTGTATCACCCAACAACTACTTAAGGACACCGAAAGAACTGCGGGTGCTGTAAATCAGGAACAAAAACGCAAGTTGCTGGAAAAGCTCAGCAGGTCTGGTAGCATCTATGAAGAAAAAATGAGAGTTAACGTTTTGGGTCCAGTGACCTTTCTTCAGACAGGGAAGAGTTCCTCTGAGGAAAGGCCACCAGACCCGAAATGTTAACTCTGATATTTTTCTTCAATGCTGCCAGACCTGCTGAGCTTTTCCAGCAACTTCTGTTCTTGTACTTAAGGATACCTTTAGTGCTGGTGTCTCATGGGTACATGGAATGGACTCCTCATGTAATAATGGAAGCAGAAACCCTGGATCATTGGAGGACCAAGTATATACTAGAAGCAGGGTAATGTTGTGATGGACTTAGGATGTGATTTGTTGAGCAGCTGATGAGTCATTTCAAAAGGACCTTGACATTCCACCTCTGTTTAGTCTTGGTGCTGCTGATGTCCAAGATTTATTAATCTGTTCATTGTCAAGGTTCACATGCAATGAATGATCACCTATATCATCATCTTTCTAGCTTGGAGGATGAAAGGAAAGACACTTAATTGGGAGGATCCACTCCAGGGACTTCCTGAACAAATGCAACAGATGGTTCACGCACTGAGCTGCAGGTCTTGGCCATCGATCTAGTTGAGGAAATGGTGGAAACTGCCCTCAACTTCTGGCAAAAGGATGTTGACCCAAAACATTAACTCTTTTCTCGCTCTCCACACCAATTACCTGGTGCTTCTGAATATTTCTGGCATTTTTTCTTTTCACAGAATTCTTATTTGCAGAAGAAGGCCATTCAGCAAATCATCTCTACACCATTGTACCTCCGTTCCTATTAGAAGCATAGATCGGGCTATACAGAAGGATGGCATTCTGCTCATCATATCAATGCCGGCACTTTTTGAAAGGGAATCCAGTTAGTACCACTCTTTCCCTTTTGTCCCTGTGATTGCTTTTTCAGTTATTTATCCAAGGCTACAACTGGATCTGTATTCAAAGTAAATGTGTCAAAATCTTTGTTCTTTATGTCACCTCTGATTCCTCCATCAGTCACCTTAAATCTGAATATCATCCTTCCAGCTATTGAAAACAGTTTCGCTTTCCTAACCATCTTCATGATTTCAAACATTTCTACCAAAATTCCTCTTGCTTTCTCTGCTCCAACTTCTCTGCTCCAACAAGAACAATCCTGACTTCTCCATTCTGTCCATATTCCTGTAATCACTCATCCCTGGAATTGTTCTAGTAAATTTCTGCTTTACTGTCTCTAGAAGTCTTTCATACCTTTCTTAAAATGTGGTGCCCAGAATTAGACAAAACTAGTGTTTGTTTGAAAGAGGTTTAGCATAGTATCCTAGCTTTTATATTGTAGTATCTCTATTTATAAAAGTTCATTGTTTTGTTAACCTTTCCCGCCACTTTCAAAGAATTGTGGTTAAGCACCACCTCCTGCCCCATCTTTCTCCTTTATATGCTGTATTCTTAGGGTTAAGAGTCTTTGGAATTTCCTTCCTAAAAGGCAGTGGATGCAGAATATTTTAAAAATCTATTTGAGGTAGAGGTTGATAGATTCGCAATTACAGAGGAGATGAAAGGTTATCAGGTGTATGTAGAATATAGAGTTGAGGTTAAAATCAGCTCAGCCATGACCTTATTGAGTGGCAGACCAGGCACGAGGGGCCAATTGACCTACTGTTTCCTTGCTCGTTTTTTCATGTGCTAAATGGTAGCCTTTCTCATTCTCCCCATCAAAACCACACCTGGCCATGTTGAATTTCATCTGCAATGTGTCTAGTTGTTTAACTAGCCTATCTTCATCCTCTTGAAATTAATTTTCTTTCCTCATTGTTTAGTATGCATCCAGATTTCCTGCCATCTTGCCAGTTTTAAAATTGTGCCCTATATCTGCCCGCTGTGAAAACAATAAGCGTTATAGGCCTGTGTTCTCTGGCAGAGATTCAGGTCCATTGACAGCATCTTCCACACCCACAAATTTTACAGCTGTAAGAATAAGGGCAATACATGAAAATCCTCCTCCATGTCTTTGTGTTATTTTGGAGCTATGATTTCTGTTACTGGGTCAGAATCTAGAACTCCCTCCCTAACAGCATATTGGATGTCCCTGTACAACATGGATTGCAGCAGTTCAAGAAGGCAGCCCACTACCATCTCTTCGGCAATAACTGCTGGACTTGCCATCAACACACTAGTCTCAAGAACTACAGATAACACTGGTTGTCACAGCATGTGTGAGAATAGGGACGAAAGAAATCTGTTTGGTTTGTTACACCATACAATTAGATCATTGCTGAATAATACCTTCAATCTACTGTTCTGACTTCAGTCCATATCTTTTGATATGCATACCCAACAAAAATCAATCCTTCTCAGTTAGTCTGCTTTTCTTTGCAGGTCTTTTTGAAAGTATGAAAACTGAACTTGGAGATGGAATATCCAAATCTTCTGACCCCTCTGACTCTGATGTCGAGATGAAATACAGCCTGCAGGTATCTGCTCTAATCCTCTGTCTATTCAGGTACTGCTAGATTGTGATCTGAGACAGTGCCACTACTTACCTAATTCTTTAAACTGCCAGTTTAGCCACTCTGCTGGTTTGGCAACCTACTGTGGTATTTGTTGATGCTGGATGGTTTGGGACTAGAGCAGTGTCCTTTACCACTGTCTGCAGTAAAACATGACATTGAATTATACGGAATATATGGTACAGAAACAGGTCCTCCGCTCAACCAGTCCCTGTTGCTGTTGACTGTAGTCTTCTCTAATAATCAGCAGTCCGCTATTCCCTCTCTCTCTAATGTTCTTGTCTAGCTTCACTTAAATATTATTCACCTCAACTACCTCCGGTGAGAGCAAATTTCATGTTCTCATCTATCCTCTGGAGAAAAAAGTTTCTGCCAAATTCACCATTGGATTTCTTGGTACTTACCTTGCATTGAAATGTCCACCAAACTTTCCCCACAAGTGGAAACATTTTCTGTGCCCTTGCCTTCAAAACATTGAAGATTTTTGAAAGCATCTATTAAATCACAGCTCAGCAATTTGTTGCCAAAATTAAAAAGGACACAGCTTCTCCATCCATCCCTGATGATTTTAAATTTGCAGTTTTCTATCATCCACATCAGTCTGTTTTGTATCTTTTCCAGTGCCTCAGTGTCCTTCTACATTATGGCGACCAGAATTTCATGCAGTACCCAAGTGTGGCCTAAAAAAAAATTGACATAAATTTAGCTGCTCTAAACTTTTTAACCCTGTCATTTCTGGTCCCTTGGTCAGTGTGAGGTTTTCTGTCTAATTCCGTTTATCAGTCTTTATCGTGGTTTGATGCAACTGTGTGGCTTGCTAGGTTATTTTCGAGAGCACTTGAGAGTTAGCCACATTTACTGTGAATCTGGAGTTGCCTGCAGGTCACATCAGGCAAAGACGTCTAATTTTCAATCGCTAAAGAGTACAAGTGAACCAGATAGGTTTTTATGATAATCTATGATGGCCACCTTCACTGATACTGTAACAACTAACTTTCACATTCAGATTTTATTAATTGAATTTAAATCTACCAGCTGCTGTGGTGGGATTTGAACCTATGTCCTCAGAGCAGTAGCTTGGGCCTCTAGTCCAGCGATATGATCACTTCATCGCTGTCTCCATTTAAAACACTTGTGAAATTAAGCTTTGGTAATCTTGTCAAATTTTGCTTGTTAAGACTCCTGTGATGCACTGTGCTATGTTTTAGCATTGTAAAGGTGGAATATAAATACAAACTACTATAAGTAAAAGCTAATTTGTCAACTTGGCACAGTCTAAGGACATGCAATTCTTTGTCACTTCTACAATTAATATTGTTTTGTTACTACAGAGAGCAGACTCTAGAGGCGAGGAATCCTATCTCTCATCTGGTAGTGAGAAGAATGGGTTAACAATCGAGTCAGAGACTGAGAGGTCCCAGCAAGCGCTGGATAAGCCCAGGACGAGTCTGAAGCGTTGCAAGAAGGACGACACAGTTGAGAGGTAAGGACAGGATCTCTGTTAAGATAGGAGACTCAAAATTGGAGTTGTTCTTTCAGAGAAAGGTTGAGGGGATTTTTAATGTAATTTGAATATTTCTAGGGAGTTTTAATAGAATAAATAAATAAATAGCAGAGGGAAGAGGGACTCCTGACATACTGACTGAAAGGCCTGAGAGAGCAGATTCAATAGGAACTTTTCAAAAGGGATTGGGTGTTCACTTAAAATACAAAGCGGGGGATTTACTGCAAAGCAAATGGGTGTTTGAATGTTTCTTGGATCCTGGATGTTCCTGGAGGTTGTCACCTCCTAACTAAGCAGAGTTCAGATTAACAAAATAGTAACAAGTAGGTAAGTAACAAGTAGGTAAGTACCAACACTCTAGGAAGAGAAAAGCAGTGCAGAATCCACTGGGAGTATGGGAAACTCTTAAACTGGTATTCAGCATTAATTGCCAGAAGATGATAACATCTCAAAAAAGTGCATTCCAAATCTCATGAGGTAATGCAAAGAACAACGGTTGGGTTACAGAAAAATTTAGAAATGCAGTTGTAATTGAAATTTGGTAGTTGAGGGGACTTCTAGGTTGGAGTTATATTTAACACAATACAAGGACACAGTGAGAAGTGGAATTGGGTCATTCAGCCCCTATAGCTTTCTTTACCATCCAGTAAGATCATGACTGACTGACTGACTACCTTGTTGATCCAAACAATCTGTATAACTTGAACTTGAATATTCAATGAGACCGTCTCCACTGGTCTTCAGGGAAGCAAATTTGACACAGAAATAACTCTCTGAAAAGAATTAGAATTAGCTTTATTGTTTTCCTCGTCTTTGGTTTTAAATGGGACATTCTAAATTTTAGAAGGTGCCCCCTCATTCTTGAAGAGTGCATTTACCACGTCAAATCTTCTGGGGATCAGATATTTCAATAAGATCATCTGTTATTCTTGCCTTCAAGCTTCCTCTGAACACAACATTATCATTCTCCGAATCAGTTGAGTGACCTGCTTCTAATATTATTTCATTTCTCAAATAAGAAGAGAAAATTGTATGAATATTTCAGGTGCGGTTTGCCTAAGGCCCTGCACAGCCCTGGAAATACTTGACTACTTTTGTACACCTTTTATAAAAATGCGAAATTCCATTTGTTGTCCTAAACACTCACTGTGCTTGCACACAAATGTTTGTGATCTGTGCACTAAGGTACCAGATGTCTTTGAACCATACAGTTCTGCAATATTGCTTGATTTAAATAAGATCAGAAGTCACACGACACCAGGTTATAGTCCAACAAGTTTCTTTGAAATCACAAGCTTTCGGAGCTCTGCCCATTCGTCAGGTGAAGGTATGTGACTTCTGGTCTTGTCCACCTCAGTCCAACACTGGCACCTCTACATCAAGATTTAAACCATACACTGCATTTCTATTCTTCCCAAAATAAAAAAAGTTCACCAATTTTGCACACTTAATTAACCTATGAATTACTTTTCTTTTGTCTTACTTTTCAGCCTGTGTTCCCAATTTGTTTAAGTCAACTTTTTTTGTTTAAAGTTTTGGCAAAGGTCTGCTTGGGTTGCGGGTGAGGTTGTTGACTTGCTTGCCGGGCTGGCTTGTTTTTGTTCAGACATGCTACCATGATTCCTAGTGGTGTTGGGAGTCTAGTTGTCAGTTCTGATACATTCTTCATGTAGGGCAGTGTGGCCAGTGTGTTAAGGCATACTGTGTCTTCCTGTTGTTGTCTGTTTCGCAGGCATCTGCGGATGAAGTTGCAGGGATATCTGTTCATAGTGAAGATTTTGTATTGGCGCTCTTCCTCTTTCCTGCGTAGTTCCAGAGTGTTGTAGTGTGTCCTGGCCCATTCAAATAGTGTCCTAATGCAGCTTTGTTTGTGGATGTTGGGGTGGTTACTGTGGAAGTTGAGGATTTGATCCGTGTGGGTTGCTTTTCTGTATACTGAGGTTTGGAACTCCCCATTGGTCATATGCTCAATTTTAACATCCTGAAACAAAAGTTGATTGTTGATTTCTTCTTCCCTTGTGAAGTTAATCCCTGTGAATATGTTGTTGATGAGGTGGTGGGTCTCTTCTAATTTGTTGCGTTTAATAATGACGTGTTGTCTACATATCAGAACCACGGTTTAGGTTGAATACGGGGGAGGGTGGTGTGTTCTAGTCTTTGAGTGACTGCTTCTGGAATGAGTCCTGAGATGGATGATCCCACTGCTGGACAGTTGATCTGTTTGTATACTTGACCATTAAAGACAAAGTGTGTGGTGAGGCACAGGTCTAGTAGTTTAAGTACGTCCTCATTGCTGATGGAGCCGCTGATCTGCGTTGCTGCTTCCTCTAGTAATGTTGCCACTTTCTTTCGCAAGTGGGATGTTGATTGACGTGAATAACACACTGATCAAATCCTCAACTTCCATAGCATCTGTGGAGAGAAAGCAGAGTTAACATTTTAAGTCCAGTGACCCTTCTTCAGAACTCCTTAGCATCTTCAGTTCTTCTATACTATTGTAATATTGGCTACTGTTATCATAACCCTCCCCGCGCCCACCCCTGAAAGGAAAGCAGCCAGGGCAGATGGAAGATAATGTCAAGCCCTTCCACTATCTCTTCTACTCCTTCTTTTAGCAACCTTGGTGCAATTTGTCCAGACAGATTTCTCCTCTGTCCATATACAGAATTTTTAGTTGATTCCCTTATACTTTTTGAAATAGGCATGGTGAAGTCCAGGTTTTGAATGACCCACAACATGCTGTCTTTAAGGTTAAATCAAAAGTATGGTTTATTGATGAATTCAAACCTAGGAGATGGTCGTTGCAACACGTGCACTGACGCAATATGCAAAGAATAACAAAGAGGAAAGAGAAAAGGTTACAATTAGGAAAAAAATTAAAGCTTGGAATATTAATTCACTTGATTTTTGACTTGTGTGTGGCACTGCGTAGAATCCAGAGGTAATGACCGCTTCACGTTCTCATTCCTAACCCCCTAAAACTTGCTGACGGGATCTCATCCACCTTTTCATCTATGTTGTCGGTAGCGACATTGACTATAATCACTGGCTGTTCACTTTCTCCATTCAAAATGTTCACTAGTCACTGATACCAGGGAGGCAAATGGCTCTCCATTTTTGAAGAAGGGTCTAGGCCCAAAACATCAGCCTTCCTGCTCCTCTGATGCTGCTTGGCTGCTGTGTTCATCCAGCTCTACACCTTGTTATCTCAGATTCTCCAGCATCGGCAGTTCCAACTATCCCTATACACCTAACCCTGTCCACCTCCTTGTGCTGCCCTTTCATTTCTCCCTGCCATTCAGAGAAGCTGTCAACCTTGCCCTCCCTCAGTGACAAGCTGAAGGCCCCACACCCTCAAGATAATGTATTGTGGATGTCCATGGGTTGTAATCCTAAGCCAAGGCCTTGATTGAAGGCAATTGAATTATTGGTCTCAGTGTGGTAATCCCTCATAACCAAATCAAGATCCATTGTTTGATGTGGGACAGCTTGTCTACTCACTTTGATTGTAGAAACAATTGGGGAGAGGTGACATGCCTGTCCATGAGAGGATAGTACCTACAGCCAACTATTTTCTTTTCTGTATTTCAGAGAATGGTTGCCATCTCCGAGCACAGCAGAGACGATTCAGGGCATGCTCTCAATGGCAGCCCTGCAATACTCAGACCTTCGCAACAACCGAAGAAAGAATAGTGACAGCATGGACAAACGAAACCTTCCAAGGTCACACCAAGACATGAGAGCTAATCGGAGGGAGGAAAGAGAACACAGCCCACGCTCTAGGGCAGCAGAATGTGGTGGGTATTTTAGTGTATCCTGAAAAGTGGATGACTATAGAAGGCATTGCAAAGAAAATGTGATTTTGTGAGGGTTGTGGACTTGCAACTTTGTTATTCCAGATGGGGAGTTAGGTTTGGTGAATATCTAGAATGGAGATGTGGGCCATGGCAAGGAGATGGATATTCAGAAAGGAATTCCTGGTTAGGAAAGGCTAGTGATAGAGAGGCAGGATACTGTTTAGGATTGGGAGCTGTTAGTTAGGAGATGATGGAAATGTGTGAAGGGGAGATACTAATTAGGAGGGGGAAGAGGTTGTGAGAGGACCAACTAGAAACATGGAGACATCAAGGAATTGTTGCTGGTTCTGGCAGCCATTTAGATCATGGTTGATCTGTGTATCTTCATTTCATTTATGGGGATGTAATGGCCCAGTGGTATTATCACTAGACTTATTAATCCAGAAATTCACCTAATGTTCTAGAGCCTGGGTTCAAATCCTGCCATGGCGGATGGTGAAATTTGAAGTTAATAAAGAATCTGGAATTTAGAGTCTAATGATGACCATGAAACCATTGTCGATTGTTAGGGAGCCAGATGGGTTTTTCCTAATGCCCTTTAGGGAGGGAAATCTGTTATCCCTCCCTGGTCTGGCCTACCTTTATCTAGATCCACAGCAATGTGATTGACTTTTAACTGCCCTCTGGGCAATTAGGAATGAGCAATAAATGTTGACAAAGCCAGATATGCCCACATCCTGTGAGTGAATTAAAAAAACAAATGTACCCACCTTGGCCTTTGGTAACCCTGTCTAACATAGCTCTCTCTGTTTTTGAAGATTTCAGTTGACCCTCTCAGCTTCAACTGTCCTTTGGGAGAGGGAGAGAGAGGGAATTCCAGATTTCAACAACTTTTTACATGAAGTGTCTATGAAATACATAGTTCAAATTTTAAGACTTAAACTCATTGTTCTGGGCTAATTATCTTAAATTAACATAATCTAGGGTACTTCTATGTTTTGAGGAGGCAGACAAAATGGAAAAGGAGTGTAGTGGCTGGAATTAATAGTAAAGAATGGCATAAGGACAATAGTGAGAAAGGATCTTGACTTAGTGAAGCAATAAATACAATCGTGTGGAGACAAGAAAAAGGCAGAAAAAATACTAGTGGGAGGAATTTATTTGCTGTAACAGTAACCACACTGTTAGAGTACTGATTAGGAGAACTTGTAATAAAACTAATGGAAAAAATTCATTTGAGGGTTTCAATTTTAATAAATTAAGCAAATGCAATTGATGACAATAAGAGTTTGAAAGATGAGAATATGCAATGCATTTGAGTCTAGTTCCATGCCGTGATGCACAAGGAAGCATTTGGGGAAGGGAATGGTTTAGACTATGCATAATGAGACCACATCAATTAATCCATTGCCCTCTGAAGAAAAATGATAAGAATATGATAGAATTTTACACCATTTTTGGGTTTAAAAAATTATTTAGGGGATGTTGATGTCACTTACTAGGCCAGCATTTATTGCCCATCCCTAGTTGCCTTTGAGAAGGTGGAGAGCCATCATCTTGAACCGCTGCAGGACTGTGTATATTGTCGTTTCTGGTGGCCGCTTGATCAATGCCGAGTAGTCCATCTGGTTTCATTCTGTTATTTTGCTGGTGATCAGCTACAACTAATTGGCAGTCCGCAGTCAACTCCATTGCTCTTTATCTTGAGCCACATGAAGGCCAGACCTGCTAAGGATGGCAGAATACCTTCCTTAAACAGCATTAGTAAACCAGATGGAGTTTTATAACATTGGAGATTTGGTCATCACTAGACTAGCTTTTAATTCCCAAATTATTAATTTATTTTAGTATTATCACCTGTCATCAAGGGATTCAAGCACATGTCCCCAGAGCATTTGTCTAGGCCTTTGGAATAATTGTTCTGTGGCCATGCCACAACATCACTGCCTCCCTCATTGAGTGATGTGCTTCAGACCAAAACATGGGTGAGGTTAGAGACTGAGTCAGGAGAAATTGTATTGGAGAGCAAACTAATATTGAGCTTAAATAAAGCCTGTACAATTATGAAGAATGAGTTAGCTAAGGTGCAGTCTTTGAAATTTACAGACCAGAAAAAGGCCCTTCAGCCCATGACATCTATGCCACATCAAAAACAACCACCTAACTATTCTCATCCTATTTCCCAGCATTTGCCCCATAGCCTTGTACACTTTGGCATTGCAAATGTACATCTAAATAAACATTATAACAGTTTCTGCTTTTACCACTCTTACAAGCAGTGAGTTCCAGATTCCCACCACCCTCTGGGTGAGAGATTTTTCATCATATCTCTTATATATATTCTGCCTCTTCCCTTAAATCAATCCCTTGTTTATTGATCCCTCCATCAAGAGGAAAAGTTTCTTACTGTCTACCCTATTCATGTGCCTCATAATTCTATATATCCCAATCATGAGCTGTGGCCTAACTAGTGTTTTAGACATTTTCATAATTATCATAATCTCCTTTCTCTTAAAGTCTATGCCTCAACTAATAAAGGCAAGTATACCACATTCCTTCTTAAGCACTTTACCTGTCCTGGTATACTAAGGGACTGGTGGACATGCACACCAAGGTTCCTCTGATCCTCGATGCTTCCCAGAGTCCAACCATTCATCATGTATTCCCTTGCCTTGTTTTCTTGCCCAAGTGCATCACCTCACTTTATCTGGATTGAATTCCATTTACCATTGATCAGCCCATTTGACCAGCCGTCTATATCCTCTTGTAGTCTAAGTCTATATTCCTCACTATTTATCACCCCAACAATTTTTGTATCATCTGCAAACTTACTGATCGACCCTCCTACATTCAAGTCAAAATCATTTGTACAAACAGCAAGTGTCCCAGTACTGACCCTGTGGGACCCCACTGGGCACAGACATCCAATCTGAAAAACACCCCTTGACCTTCACTTTCAGCTGCTTAGCCAACTGTATATCCAAATTGTCAAATTTCCTTGGATCCCCTGGGTTGTATCAGTTCCCACATTTGGGATCTTATCAAAAGTCTTGCTTAAGTCCAAGTAGACTACGTTGAATGCATTGCCCTCATCTATATACCTGGTCACCTCTTTGAAAAATTCAGTTAAGTAGGCCAGACATCGCCTCCCCTTAATAAAATCATGCTGACTGTTCTTGATTAATCTGTGTTCTCCGAATGTAGATTAATTCTGCCCCTCAGAATTACTTCCAATAGTTTCCTCTCCACCGTGGTTAGACTAACTGGCCTGCAGTTTTTTTGGTTTGTCCCTTGCTCCCTTCTTGAAAGCAGTACCACATTGGCTGAAATCCAGCATCTCTCCTGTGGTTAGAGAGGAATTGAAAATTTTTGCAAGCGCCCTATAATTTCCTCCTCTGCCTCACTTAACAACCTGGGATGCATTTCATCTGGTCCTGGAGATTTATCTACTTTTATCCAGACCGCACATTTTGTTAAAGCTATCAGGATAATTTCAAAAAACATCAATTCAAGGAAAACCTAACATTGTCCAGAGAAATGACTATTGCTTATTCTGTTAAATTGAAACAGGTGCTGTGTGTGAATGTGTTTTTATTGCTTATAACAAATAAAAGTTTAAAGATGGTGACAATAGCCTAGTTGAAAATGTGGAGCAACTGAGCAGTATAGTGATACATAAAGAAGAGGCACTGTGAAGGCTGGCATCACTCCAGGTAGAGATCAGTTTCAAATCTTGTTGAATGGCAAAGCGTGTATGATCACCATACAGCCAGGCAATGTCCTCTCCAACAAGAAGGAATCCAATCATTGCTCTTAATGTTCAATGACATTGCTATCATTGACATTCCCAACATCAACATCCTAGGGGTTAACGTTGAGCAGGGACTTAACTGGTCCAGCTAGGTAAATACAGTGGTTACGAGAACATGTCAGAGATTGGGAATTCAACAGTTCATAACTTCCCTCCCCAAAGCCTGTCCGCTATCTGTAATGCACAAGCCAGGAATGGAATATGCTCCTGAAGCTTGACAACACTCGGTAAAGCACATGCTTGATTGGCACCACATCTGCCAAGTACAACATTCACTCCCTTCTCTACGCAGTGGCAGCAGCCTGTAGGAGATGCACAATTATTCAGCAAAGTTCCTTGGACATCAACTTCTAAACCCACGTCCTGTACCACTGAGAAGATATATAATTGTTGAGCTCCATGTTTAGTCCAGAAGGCTGTAAAGTTTCAAGTCAAAGGATGAGGTGGTGTGGCTGGAGATTATGTTGATGTTTACTGAAATAGTGCAGTAGGCCAAGGATGGTGAAGTCACAGAAGACATGAGGTGACAGAATTGAATTTACAGTTGACAGGAAGCTCATACACATGTTTCTAGACTGAATGTTGTGCTTGGCTAAGTAGTCGTCCAGACTTCATTTGGCTTTTGTTACCATTGGCCAGAAGCTAAATTGGACTGGCCATATACATGCTGTGACTACAAGAGCAGATCAGAGATTGGGAATTCTGCATTGAGTAACTCGCCTCCTGATAAAATCTCTTCTTGATTACCAGAAGCCTTCCACCATTTCAAAATCACAAGTCATCTGTGTGATGGAATGCCCTCAACATATCTGGATGAACAGGGCTCCAATAACCCTCCTGAAAGTCAACACCATCCAGAACAGAGTAGCCAGTTTGACTGGTGTGCTATCCATTATTTTTAGCCTGTCCACTATCTGTAATGCACAAGCCAGGAATGGAATATGCTCCTGAAGCTTGACAACACTCGGTAAACACTGGGACACAGAAACACCTTGAATATTCTCACAAGACTTTGTGGCAGCATCTACAAGATGCACTGCAGCACCTTCCAAACCCTCGAAAGACAAAGAGACATATGGAACGACACCATTTGAAACAAAAACAGGAGTTGCTGGAAAAGCTCAGCAGACTGGTGGCACCTGTGAAGAAAAATCAGAGTTAACGTTTTGGGTCGAGTGACCCTTTCTGAGAACCCTTCAGGTCACTTGACCCGAAACGTTAACTCTGACTTTTTCTTCACAGGTGCCGCAGAGCAGCTGAGCTTTTCTAGCAACTTATGTTTTTGTTCTTGATTTACAGCATCAGCAGCTCTTTTGGTTTTTATTTGCCACAATCTGAACGTTTCCCTCCAAGCCCCAAGCCCCCCTAACATGGAATCATATCACTGTCCCACCACTAGTACTGAGCCAAAATCCTGAAATTCTCAACCCCCCTCCCCAAACTGTTTACTAGTAGCACTTTTGGCTTTAACCACACCAGATCAACTTTAGTGAATCAAGAAAGCAGCTCACGATGATTTTCTCAGGGGCAGTTTGGGATACATAATAAATGCAAGCTTTTCCAGCAATTTCCATACCCCATTAAATAATTTTAAGGGCTTTTCTGAAATGTAGTCTCTACACTGAACCCTCTTTCCTGTGCCCCCCCCCCCCAAGTTTTTAAACTTGTGATCCTATTTGCATCTTCTCTTCCTTTAATTGAATTGTTGCCTTTTTCGTTTTGAATTTATTTAATTAATTCTCTGTGATTTTGACACCCCAAATGATTGCCTATTCATAAGGCTGCAATTCAGTGACCTGTAATATTATTGTAGGTTCTATTGTGATTCTTGGTTGATGTTCAGCAATCTATTTTTGTTTTCACAGTTGGGCCTGTGAAACAGGAAGCCGCTGAGAGCAGTAGTGAATCGGTGAATCATGAAGCGAAAAGCTTACTGAGAACAGCAGCCAAATTCTCTGAAGAGGTTAGACCCCAATGCTATGTGTAGACTGGATTGTTGGGAACTCTCTCTCTGTCTTGCACATGGAGTTTCTAGTTATCTCATTGGAAAATTATATTTATTGGTTCAGGTCTTTTTAGTGAGATCCTGCTACCAAGAGTTCCCTCTAAGGAGTACAGCTACAGCCTGGAAATTTCTGCTCCAGTGGTACACAAGCTTGCACTTTAAATTAATGCATGTTACCCTCTGAACAAAAATATTGATTAAGTCTGCATATTTCATCCTAGAAAGTCAGTGAGGAAGGATAACAATGCAATCCAATATTTAAGCTTTTATTCACAGATATGCACTTTGCAAATATGCAGGGCTATGTGGATATAACAGGAGAGTGGGACTGACTGCATTGCTCCAAAGAGAAGCAGCATAGTCTTGATTGCCAAATGGTCCTTGTTTGTCAAAAAGGATTCTATCATCTCCAAAAGTGCCCCACATGTCCTTCCTTCCTCCACAGCTTCAGTTCCTGCCCATTCATAGGTGCACAGGAGCATTAATCTCCAGTCATGTTTACAATCTGCATACAATTAAAAACCAGAACTATACACCTAATTGATTTCCTTAACTCTAATTTTTATTTAAGAAAGGATCGTTTTCACAAAATTTCAAAACTGATTAAATCAAAAATGTCCAAGTCCTATGCAAAGGACATATCTTTTCTAGAACACTTAACTGTTTCTTCATACAAGCATTTATTTTGAGGTTGTAGACATGCTCACTGAGCTGGTGGGTTTGGTTGCAAACATTTCATCACCCTGCTAGGTAACATTGTCAGGGCACTTCTGGTGAAGTGTTGGTGTTCTGTCCCACTTGTTCTTTATATGGCTCGGTTTGCTGGGGTGGTTGGTATTACTTCCGGTTTTGTTTCTCAGTGGTTTGTACACAGGGTCTAATTCATTGTGTTTGTTGGTGGAGTTTTGGTTGGAATGCCAGGTCTCCAGGAATTTCCTGGCATGTCTCTGTTTGGCTTGTGCGATTATGGATGTCTTATCCCAGTCGAATTCATGTCCCTCGTTGTTCGTGTGTAGTGAGACAAGTGAGAATTGGTCGTGTCTCTTGGTGGCTAGCTGGTGTTCATGTATCTGTACAGTCAATTTTCTTCTGGTTTGGCCGTAGTAGTGTTTCTCACATTCCCTGCATGGTATTTTGTATATTACCCCAGTTTTTTGCCGGTTTTGGGTATGGGTTCTTTTTACGTTTGTGCCGAAAAGCACAATCCACCATTACCTCCGACCACAAAAGGAAGACACAACACAACCAGAATCACTATCACCCTACCACACATCAAGAACATTTCAGAGATGACCACAAGACTACTCGGACCTGTAGGTATCAGAGTAGCTCACAAACCGACAACCATCCTACGACAGCTACTGACGAGCGTAAGGGATCCCATACCCAAAACCAGCAAAACTGGGGTAATATACAAAATACCATGCAAGAAATGTGAGAAACACTACATAGGCCAAACCAGAAGAAAATTGACTGTACGGATGCATGAACACCAACTAGCCAGGAGACATGACGAATTCTCACTTGTCTCATTACACACTGACAACAAGAAGACAACTGACAACAATTTGACTGGGACAACAATAATTGCATAAACCAAACAGAATTCCTAGAGACCTGGTATTCCAACCGGAATTCCAGCAACAAACACATTCAATTAGACCCTTGTTGTTACCCATCACTAAATCCCCATTACCAACATTCTGAGAGTTACCATTGATCAGAAACTCAGCTGGACTCGGAATATGAATGCAGTGGCTATAAGAGCAGGTCAGAGGTTAGGAATTCTGCAGTGAGTAACACACGTTCTGACTCACTGAAGCCTGTCCATATTCTACACAAGGCACAAATCGGGAGTGTAATGGAATGATGCCCACTTGCCTGGATAAATGCAGTTCAAAGAGCACTCCAGAAGCTTGACACCATCAAGGACAAAGCAGCCAGCTTGATTGGCACTACCTGCACAAACGTCCACTTCCTCCACAACTAACATTCAGTTGCAGCAGTGTGTACTGTCAACAAGGTGCATTGCAGAAATTCACCAAAGATTCTTAGACAGCATCTTCCAAACCTATGGCCATTACCATCTAGAAGGAAAAGGACAACAGATACATGGGAACACGACCATCACCTGCGAGTTGCCCGCCAAGCTAACCACCACCCTGTATTGGAAATATATCACCGTTCCTTCACTGTCGCTGGGTCAAAAGCCTGGTTTTTCTTCCCTAAAGGCATTGTGGGTCAATGGACTGCCGGGGTTCAAGAAGGCAGCTTACCACCACCTTTTTAAGGGCAACAGTGGATGGACAAAAAAATGCTGGCCGGCCAGCCAGCGATGCCCACAACTCATGAGTGAATTTTTAAAAAAAAAACTATCCTCATGGTTCGCAAAATTTTCAAATAGTTTATATATGTATATGGGAAAGGTAAAGGTCCCAACACTGATCTTTGGTGATCGCCAGATCTTCCTCCAGGCCAGAAGACATCCATTAACAATTACTGTCTCCGGTAACTCGGCCACTCCTTATCCATTTTGCTACTGTCTTTTTTTATTCCATGAGCTAGTTTCTCTGCAGACTGTTGTGTAGTACTGTATCAGATGCTTTGAAGTCCCTGTAAATCATGTAGATAACATGTATGCCTAATCAATAATTTCTGACACCTCTTCAAAAATCTCTTCAAAGTAATTAAACATGATTTTTTTCATGAATTCAAACTGGCTTCCTTTAATTAACTCACATTTGTCCACGTGCTTCTTAATTTTCTTCTAATACATTGTTTCTAGAAACTTCTGCACTACCTAAGTTAAATTGACTAACCTGTAGTTGCTGGGCTTATTTTGACACCTTTTTTGAAAAAGGATGTAACATTTGCAATTCTCTAATCCTCTGCCACCATCCTGAAGACTAAGAAGGACTGAAACTATGGCCAGTGCATTTGCAATTTCCACTCTCCCTTCCCTCTGTATTCTTCAATGCATCTTATCCAGTACTCGTGCCTTATCAGAAGCACAGGCAGCTTATCCTCCTTATCAAGTCTAAACTCCTCTTCTAGTGTCTGAATAGCCTCCTCTTTCACCATGACCTGGGTAGCATCTTCTTCCTTGCTCAGTGAAGACATACAAAGTATTCATTTAATATTTCGGCCATACCCTCTGTCTCCACATATAAATCTCCTTTTTATCCCTAATCTGTCCCCCTCCTATTTTTTAGAATTCTTTTACTATTGATACATCAATAGTAAGTTTTAGGGTTTCCTTTTATGTTAACAACCAATTTCTTTCATACTCACTCCTTGTTTTTCTTATTCTCTTCCTCATTTCCATCTGAACCTTCTATTTTCAGGCTTGTTCTTGATTTTATTAACAAACTGACATTTGTCTTTAGCATACTTTTCTGTCTTTATCTTAATTTCTGTCTCTTGTTATTGTGTTGGCTCTTCCTCTCCCTTTCAAGGGAATTTACCCTGACTGTGCTTGAACTCTCTTGCTTCTCTGAAGGTAGCCCATTGTTCAGCTCCCAAGTTTCCTGTCAACCTTTGACTCCAATTTTTTCAACTCTGGTTCATTCTTACCCTGTTGAAGTTTGCTTTTCCACAATTAATTATCCTTACTCTGGAGTGTTTGCAGTTCTTTTTCATATTCAGGCTACTCCTTATGATACAATGATCACTTTCCGGTAAATGTTCTCCTACTGATGTCATTCCCAAGAACCATTCTAGCAAAAGTGCAATTTGAGCTGATCTTCACTCCTCTCAGTACAGGACTGGAATGTTTTTCAGATTATATTTCCAGCGGTGGGAGAATTCATTCCTGAAGTGTATCACCCAGTCACTCTTCAAATGTGCCTCATTTTTAGCTTCACCCCATCTGCAAGGAGTTTCTCGGTACGGATCAACCTTGGTGAGAAGGCTGCCTGCTCCTTTTTTTTGGTACTTCAGAAGAAATTCTAAACTCTATCAAACAGTCCAAAGAATTCCCTCTTTCACCTGTCTTGGACATTTATCCTTAAGTTTGACAGCCACCAAAATTTCACTAAAATTAAGACCTGCTACTTCTGTTCCAAGGCAATGGTAAGTTGCCTTTTGTTTTGTTTGGTTTATTTGAGCTACTTGCACATTTGTGTCATAGTCATTCCATTTACCAGTACCTGGTCCATAGCCTACTATGCCCTGGCATTTTGTGTTTGTCCAGATGTTCCTTCAGGCAGCAAGTTCCATATTTCTACCACCCTCTAGGTGAAAACATTTTTCCTCTGATCTGGTCCAAACCACATACTCCTCACCTTAAACTTATGGCATCTGGTGTGGAATTGCTTTGTTGTGAATTTTTATTCCCAACAATGAGCCATAGACAAAGATATTTATGCCAAAAACAATAGTAATAAATACAAAAATGAGGACAGAATTCCTACATGGATAAAATATGGCGCATAAGTTAAATACATTTAATCGAACAAAAATAGAAATAAAACACTGCATTTCATAAAGTCTCTTTTTAGTATAAAAAGTTGTTTAATCATCAAATTTTGCAAATTGTTTTGGTTACTTTATTTGGTTAAATGTAATGAGGAGAATGATTTCAGTTTCCAATCACATGTTTTTGCCTCCACCCATATCAGGGTGTATTATTTTAAACTTATTACCCTACGTATTGTGTAACTAGATTTGTTGTCTTAACAATCCAGGAATAAAGGGTTATGGTGTGGTTAGCTATTTAAGATTTGTGTCCCAGTACTTTAGCTTTGGGCCCCATTGTAGTGTTGAACAGCCCCCTTTCTAATTTGCAGCTGACATGTACCATTTCACTTCTAACCTTAGAGCCATTATCCATGAACATGATATTCTTTACAGTTTTCATTTTAGATTGTGCATTTGAAGTGGTATTGATCCCATTCAAAAACAGCTATGAAGTTAGAATGGGTCTACTGCTGAGAGACTGTCACTTGCACTGTTGGAAAATTATTCTCTGATACTTAATTGTTTTCTGATTTTAGACTCATTACGGCCCATTTCATCCCAACAAACTCTAGTTAGAACAGTCCAGTCAGTGTTCTGCTCCCGTTCTGTTCCTTTAGCCTTGCATGTTTATTTCCCACAAGTAGCCCTCCAATTTCCTTTTGAATCAGTCATCGTCTCTGCTTCTACAATCTCTCTATGTAGACAGTGGGTTCCAGGCATTACCAGTCAATGAAAACTGAAAAAACAGTGGATGCTGTAAATCAGGAATAAAAACAGAAGTTACTGGAAGCTCAGCAGGTCTGGCAGCAACTGTGAAGAAAAAAAATCAAGAGTTAACGTTTCGGGTCCGGTGACCCATCGTCAGAACAGTTCTGAGGAAGGGTCACCAGATCTGAAACGTTAACTCTGATTCTTTTTCTTCACAGTTGCTGCCAGACCTGCTGAGCTTCCAGCAAATTCTGTTTTTATTTCCATTCAATGGACTGCCTGCGACCTATCACGAGCAGCTGGTATCATCCCTCGATTAGCAATACCTCCCAAGTTTGGAACAATGGGCAAATTTCCATTTTCCAATATCCCAGTCATCAATACATCTTGGGGGAAAAAAAGACAGAGGTCCTAACACTGACCTTTGGAACTCCACTGTCTACCACCCTCCTGGTTGAAAATCATTTACCACACTCCACTGTTTTCTATCCTTAAGCTATCATTTTATCCAAGTTGATGCTGCCTCATCTATTATGGTATTTTGTGAAATGCTTTCTTAAAATCCAATGGTATCCTTGCTCGACTAATCCAGTTATTTTGAAGAAAGAGAGGGTTGATGTATGGTTTTTTACAAATCCATGCCGCTGTTCTTTAATTGACTCAAACCTTTCCTAGCACTTCATAGTCAGGGTAAAAAAAATTAATGTTTCTCAAACCTTGTCCAACACTGATGTTAAACTGACCCCGCTTAAGTTAGTAGAAAGGTCTGTACACCCTCAAATAATGGTGTGTCACTATCCAAATGTTTGGCACCTTGTCTATATCCAGGTGTGACAAACAGCACTGCTCTCTCCACTTAATTTAGCAACCTGGGGTGCAAGTAATCTGGACCAAGCAATTTATCCATTTTTAAGATTTTCCAGTTCATACTACTCTTTGGTAAACACCAATTCCAAGTGTTCATAAAGTATTCTAGTCTTGCCCTGTGCCTCTGAACTTTTATTACCCCTTCTGACACTGATGGGGCCAAACCCAGCTAGAACTACTCACTTATTATTTACTAATCCAGATTTCGCTTTCTGTAATTTGTCATTCTGTTCTCCTATTCAGTCTTGGCCAGTGTTATTGTCCTTTTCACTTTCCCTGTAAACTTATTGTATTCGACCTGGTTTTGCTTGAAGAATTTACCTTACGTGCATCTCCCCCCTCTCTTGTTTAACATTGTCTCTACCTCCTTCATCACGCAGGATTTCTGGCTTTGGTTCTTCTATTTTTGATACCCATCTTGGAATGTACCTGGGCTGTTTTCTGTAACATTACTCAGTTGAAGATCACCTGTCACTGTTTGGTCCCACTTTCCCAGGCTTGATTCCCTCTCATCACAATGAAGTTAGTTCTCCTCTGATGCAAAAAAATTGCTTTAGACTGTTCCTTGCTCTTCATTACAAATCTAAATCTGATAGAACAAAGGTACCGAGTCCACTTTATGTACCTCATTCCTCAACAGTACCTTTTTCTGAGTTGAATCAAGAACACTGCTTAACACTTCATAAGAATTTCTGCACCTTCTTGCCCTTTGCTGTAACATTATCTTAATTGATACTTGAGTAATTAATTTGCCTAATATTGCTAGTCTGTAGTTCTTCCTCATCTGTGATTCCTTTGTAGATTGGTTCCTCTCTCCCTAACTGTTTGGAGGTCTATAAAACACCCACAAGAATGTCATTGTCCACTTTTGATTCTCTGCTCCAACCACATGGAGCCTTTCTTTGCTTCTCCACGACATCGTCTCATTCCAACACTTATTTTCTAATCGATACTCCTTTATCCCTCCTCCTTTTATTTCCTTTCCTACTTGAATTGTTCTTGCAGAGTGATGGCACAGATACAATGGGACAAATGGACTTCTCTTTGTTTTAACATTCTACTATTCTATGACCTCTTCTAAAGTCTTTGTATAGTTGAATATTAGGCATTTTTTAAGCTATGTTTGCAATAAAGGAAACATAATCATATTCCTAGTGTTCCTAGTTATCCTCTTGCTCTATTCTTACCTAACATAGTACAACTTCATTCTGTGGTGCTATTCAAAGCTCTGAATCCAGCTTATTCCTCTTTTGTACCTCTATATGTTGACCCTCTAAACCACCACTAGTTTGTACCTTTCTCAATCAACAAATGAACCAGTCCTTTTGAGGAGAAGTAGGTACATCTATCTAAGGACTGGTCCCAGTGTCCTAAAAATCTGAAGTTGCATGCCTCAAACTACTTTTTGATCATAGATCGTAGAATCCCTACAGTGTAGAAGCAGTCATTTGGCCCATTAAGTCCACACCGACCTTCTGAAAAGCACCTCCCCCTCCCCAACCTATACCCCTGCATTTCCCATGGCTAATCCTCCTAACCTAAACATCTCTGGATACAGTGGGCAATATAGCATGGCCATTTCACCTAACCTCCACACAGGGAGGAAACAGGAGCACCCGGAGGAAACCCATGCAGACATGGGGAGAATATGCAAACTCTAGGCAGACAGTTGGCCAAAGATGGAATCAAACCCGGATCCCTGGCACTGTGAAGCACCATGATTATCTCTGTTTCTACTCTGTCTGGAACTTAGCACTTGAACTGATGTAGAGATAGTGCCTTTGCGGTCCTACGTTGTATTTTCCACTTAGTCCTGAAAATCTGACCATAGGATCTCCATATTTGCTATGTTGTTGGCACTGATGTAAACAACAACTTGTGACCCATCCTTCTGCAGAATATTCTGCATCTCCAATGTCCCTTACCTTGGTAGTAGGGAGGCAGCAAACTGTGCGGGTCTTATGATGAAGCATCATACTGTTTCCTGAATCCCCTTAACAATTTCTTTTCTATGCCTACTGTTTCCCGCTCTCTTCAGTCCCTTGCCCATTGATGCCTTGGGCTGGATTTCACTTCAAGGTGACATCACTGTCAGCAGTCTCCAGTGCTCAGCATTGGTTTGAGCATGGTACAGACGCTGAAGTCCTGTACTTCTTTTCTCTTCCCACACTTCCAGTTGGTCACCCATCTACTATTGTGAACTTTTGCCACTTTTGTTTTTGGGGTGTTCACCTCCTGGAATGTTGGATCCAGGATACTTCATTCTCCCTGATGCTCGCTAGTGACTCCAGCTACCCCCTCTGGCTTGGAAATCCTAAACTTGAGCTGAAGCATTGAGAGACTCCTACCTTATACTGAGATATCTTGATTTTCTTTTCTCTCTGTAGGTATGGAAGGAACGAAAACACCTCAGAAGAGAAGCATCAGTGAGGCAAACTATTCAGGAAAACAAGAATTTGATGGGAGAACGCGTTGACAATGAGGGTCAGATTCCCATAGATTCTCTGAGTGTAGTGTACAGGTCATCAGCTGATCATGTCTGGGGAGACTGTGAGATTCATAACAGCGAGAGTCTGGATCACATCGATTCTGTTATGCCAACGTCGCCATCCATGCATCCATCCAGCAAAAGAACCCTGTCCAATCCACCCCCTGTGAGCAATCAGGCAACAAAAGGTCAGTGACCAATGTCATTTTAACACATGTTCCCTGGTCAAAGAAAGAAAGAGACCATCATAGCATTAATAGAGAGGCTTCTATGATTAGTAAGAAAGTTGACCTTTCATTCACCTTAGGTTGTTTAAGAATGCCTGAATGATCTCATGTTAAAAATTGTCATTATAAACTAATTATATTAACGTTGCAACCCTATGGCAGGTAAGCGTCCAAAGAAAGGGATGGCGACTGCAAAACAGCGACTGGGAAAGATTCTGAAGTTGAACAGAAGTGGCCGCCTCTTCCTTTAGAATAATGGTATTCCAGACCAGCAGTGGTCCAAAGAGGGTCGTGGTCCGACTGCACGTATGGCCACCTTTCGGGTGAACTGTGCCTCAGGAACAATTCCCCAGATGAACACTGTTGAAGCACAGACAAGCAATAATGGTGGAGCTGGACTTTTGGGGGGAGTGAGGAGAAAGAAAGAAAGAAAGAGAGAGAGAGAGAGAGTTGGGGGGAGGTACTGATATTATGGAACTTTTACCAATGTTCAGGGCTTGCAAACATTTTTTTAGAGAGTAGTATTCTGACTTCCTGTTGTCATGTAATTTATTTCTTACAGATTATTTGATGCATTTTGACAGCTTTGAATGATTTTTTTAAAGATAACTATTTATTGAGGGATTTGTCTGATTAACTTCAACTGAATAACAAGTTAGATATAAAACATTCAACCATGTATCCAGTGGACAATTTCTTGTTTTAATTCTTAAGTGAAGAGTTGCTGTCTGTGTGTCTGTCTCTTTCCCCCCGACTCTCTCTGTCCCCACCCTGTCTGTCTCCTTCCACAATATCACTTATGCACGGCAGAGTTTGTGTTTAGTTTCCAATTTGGTGTTTCATCCAACAAAACACTTCATTGTGCAGTATCTGTCTTCCTGAGATCTCTTCACAACCTAAGGATGGGAGATGCTTAGAAAGCTGGTATGTGTTTGGAAAGCTGATTATCTGACTTCTGGATGCAGTATTTGCAGACCTTATTTCAATGATAACAGTTGTGATGCTAAAGGAATTGGCCTCAGAGGATCCAGGAGATTGTTTGTTTGCCGCTCAACAATCTGACTTCTAGTATGCTGCAGAGACACATGCCTGTAGAAATTGTCCAACACCCAGAAGTGCATTTGCTAGGTGATCCAGGTCTCACTGTGACAACAACTGTGGTGCTGACTTTGTTTTTTATGGAGGTCTATGTTGTTGATGACCCATTTGAGATTTTCAGGGTAAGCTATGCTGGATCTTCTTGTTAGTGGTGATCTTTTGAGATAGGTAACTGCTGTGATATGGGAGGTGTACAATAACTTTTAAAACCTCTCCATCAATAACAAGGTTTAGATGCTTGAATGGAGGAGGGTAATTAACATTAACCTAATCATGAAAATAATTCATGACTAACTTCCATGAAGGATGATATCTGAATTTTAACTCCAAAGGAAGCTTTTCTATTTGAACAGGCTGAGTATCCAGATTAAGATGACCTTCCTGCATATCCACGGTGATGACTTTCCACTTTGGTCCACGACTACAACAGACAACCCTCAATCTCTTCAACTCTAAATTATTCTTTGTGGGGAAGAGCAGCTTTGACAGAGTGAGAATGAATTTGTCCTGGGTTGGTTGGAATCAAGGATTTGTAGGCAAATATGCAACGGGTTGCCTCTCAAGAGAAAGTAGTTTAGGTACAGTCAAAGTGCGTTCCTACAATGGAGAAAGGTGGGACAAACCAATTTGGTGCTCTAGGATGGTGTTGTGGTCTGAGCTGATGTTGTAACTTGAAAGGTCAGTTCCCAGAATGAAATCTGACTTGATAGATCATATTTTGCTTTGTTTTTCATTTAATGCAGTGGTCTTAAAAGTGCCAGACTGCAGATTTGGTTTCAACAATGAAACAGAACATTTACATAAAACAAACTAGAACAAACCAAGCTATCTACGTATTACAGTTTAAAAGATCTCAAATATCTGTCAAAACAAAATCCCAGCAACTCCTTAACACTGCTATTTTAGAGTTTATCCAAATCCAGAGACATCTTCCTTCCCTATCAAATTTGCAGGTGGACTTCACTGCTTCCTTCCTATTCCTGTTCTGAGCTGCAAAGCCTTTTCTTTGACTCTCACATCTGAGATCTTAAACTTTCTCAACTTTGAATAGCCAATGCAGACTTCTAGCCAAACATTCCTAGTCTGAAAATTTTCACAGACCAAATCCTTTACCTGAGCTAACTTATTCCCTTAACTGCTCTGAACAAACGCTTTTTCCTTGGAGAAACTACTCTTTCCTGTGACTTCGGTCAGCCCTCTTTCAAACTGAATTCAAAAGCTTTTAACTAAATTACTGTAATTATGCTGTCTCTGGACTGTGTGCACAAACACTGCACCAATTCTGGGTTGTGTACTCACGTGCTGACTGGATTGTACCGAATCTGGACTGTGCACACAGCACTGTCTCGGATGATGCTCAGCCACTGTGGTGATGTTGGACTGCGTGTGCACATGCTGCTGTTTGTGGACTGCGTGTATGCTGTGCCAACTCAAGACTGTACATGCAATTTGCTGACTCTGAACTGTATGCACACACTTCGTGCCAATACTGGTGTTCGCTCTCACTCTTTGCCAAGACTGACCTGGGTGCACAGGCGCTGTACTGATTCCTGGCTGCACTCGAACACTGTGCTGATACTGGATTGAATTCACACACCATTCATTCATTGATAGTCCCTTGCAGATGAAGATGACTTTCTTCCACTCTCGGGGTGAGTCTGTAAGTGGCTGCACAGACCGAGATGCCTAGTCCAGGCTCAGTTACACTTGGGGCAGGTGGTGGTCTCTGGAGAGGGTGGGTGAGCCGTTGATGTGGCAGCACACTCCCTTTTGCTATTGTCACCTAGCTTTTGCTTTTTCCTGGTGGCAAATCTCAAGATGGATGGTCTTGGGCGAGTGATTCCCAGGTGTCTGTGGGAATGTCGCACTTTGCCAGTGAGGCTTTGAGGGTGTCACTGAAACACTTCTCTGTCCACCTGAGGCTCGTCTGCCATTTTGAAGCTGGGAATAGAACACCTGCTTGGGGAGTCTCAGTATAACCATGTCGGATTGAATTCACACACCATGCCAATGTGGGACTGCACACGCACAGTACTGACTCTGTACTTGGTACATGGACTGCGCCAAATCTGGACTCTGAATACACTGTGCTAACTCAGTAACTTTTCTGTAATCCACGTAGAATCATACTACCTATCTGGTTTAGAAACTAACACCACCAGTGTACTCCAATTGTTTTGGCCATGTTAAATCAATTAAATTATTTGCTTGCATGTATTGAATCTATTTCCATCTTTGTTTGGTTATCTGGGCTTAATCAATAAGTATGTTGTTTCATCAGTACTGATTCCCCTACATCTACATCTAGCTTAACTAGCATGGTACATCTGGTGTGTGTATAACTATAGATTTCCTTGAAATTCTTGTACTTCCACTGCACTTACCACCTGATATACTTGCTCTTGCTTATCTTCCTGTCCATGATATCACTTAAGCATGTTGTGACATTATCAATTTTTCTTTCTATGGTCAGGAATATCCACCAGATAAGTCACTTTACTGGCCCTCTAATATGTTGAATGGACTACTGACTCTCACTTTCAGACATTTATGATGTATAGATACTAACACTATCATCTTATCTCCATGGACAACATCTCAACCTTTGGCATTTTAACAGTTCTACCTTTCATTGGTGAGCAATTTGAAATGTCTTTGGCTGGCTGATACATTTTGGGTAACTTTTCCTGGAAATTTCACACACCGGTTAGAAATAGTCTGAGTTTTGATTTTTTTTTTAAAGAAATTAATTTCAAGAGTTCCTTTCATTTTCATTCCCATGTCCATATTTCAGTTCAAAAGGATTGAAACATCGGTGGACTGATATGAGCTTGCTTAATGGCAAACAATAAATTTATCATAATCGTTCAAACATTTCTGACAATAGGCTCAAATCATGGTCTTCCAGGGTGGCATGGTGACTCAGTGTTTAGCACTGTCGCCTCACAGTGCCAGGGACACTGGTTTGCTTCCATCCTAGGGCAACTGTGTGGAGTTTGCATATTCTCCCCATGTCTGCGTGGGTTTCCTCTGGGTGCTCAGGTTTCCTCCCACAGTCCAAAGATGTGCAGGTTAGGTGGATTGACCATGGGAAATTGCCCATAGTGTCCAGGGATGTGTGGCTAGGTGGATTAGCCATGTGAAATGCAGGGTTACAAGGACAGGGTAGGGTGTGGGTTTGGATGGGATACTCTTTGGAGGGTTGTAATGGACTTGATGGGCCAGATGGTTTGCTTACACACTGTAGGGATTCTATGCTAAAATTTAAAGCCAACTTTCTAATGCACCTTATGATTGTCGATGATAAGCTGAAGACTTGTTTTATTCCCTAACCAATCATAACTACTTTGAATTGTTGTGACATACTATGAGCTCAAGGTTCAAATTTTATTTTCTCGGATAATCCATGTCTTGTAACAAAGTGAGTTAATTTTTTCGTTACCAGTTTTTTTTTTTTTGTAATTTTCCAAAAAAGGCACTGCCTCAGGAAACCTTGTTGAAGAATTGTCAAAAAGTTGCCAATTTCTACTTCTGGTTTGAGAGGGGTCCTACCCAATTTATTAAGACCCTGCTAAATGGTTCATTGACAGCTAGTTTCAGAATTAAGGGAGCAGGTTTAAATGATGGTTGGAGTATTTCTACTAATTCTGACTATAAAAATGTTTTACCAAGTGTTTTCCTAACATCCAAATGAACTGCTATTCGAATTTTGTGAGCCAATCATAAAATGTCATGCTTCTCAGTTACTGCCACCGGCTGGACCACTTTACATTTATCTTATCTTTTGCTGGTATTTAAGGTGGTCTTCGTTTACTTATTGAAACTTCAGTTTTTTTAAAAAATAATAACACTTGTATTTTTGCTCTGATTCAATTTCTGAGAAGGTTTGTTGATACAGCTCTCTCAACTCATAGCAAAGATACATCCCAGTCATGAAGAAGGATTCGGGGAAGACGATAAGGCAAACTATAGTTATTGAGGGAAGTTACAGGTAGCATCAACTTGAAAGAAAATTTGTATAGTTTGGCAAAGAGTAGTAGTAAACCAGAGGATTGGCAAAGTTTTAGAAACCAACAAAAAGACCAAATAAATAATAGAAGGAGAAGATAAACTTGGAGCGTAAACTTCCAAGTAATGTCAAGCTAGGCAGCACTATCTTCTTTAAAAAGGAAGAGAGAAACCAAAGTGAACAAAGGCCCCTTTGAGAACAAAACTGGGAAAATAAGGGGAAGCAGGAAGTGGCAATGGAGTTGAATAAATACTTTGCATTAGTTTTCACTGCAGAAGATACTATTAAAACTCTAAATTACAAAATAATCAAAGAGCAAAAGAAGGAGAGGAAATGCATATAATAACAATTACGAGTGATAAGGTGCTAGGGAAACAAATGGGGCTAAAGATCGATAAGTCTCCTGGACCTGATGGGATGCGTCCTAGGATATTAAAAGAAGTAGCTACAGAGGTAATGGATGTGCTGGTAGTAATTTTCAAGCATCCTTAGATTCTGGAAATGTCCCAGAGAATTGGAAAACTGCAAATGTAACACCTTTATTTATAAAGGGAGGACAAAAAACAAGTAACTGTCAGTCAGCCTACATCTGTTATTGGGAAAATGTTAGACTCTGTTATAAAGGATGTAATAACCAAGCACTATAAGTAATACGATCAAGTGAGTCAGCGTAGCTTCATGAAGGAGAAATGCCTGACAAATTGCCAGAATTATTTGAGGTGGTAACAAGCAGGATAGATAAAGGAGAAGCAATAGATGTAATATATTATGATTTCCAGAAGGTGTTTGATAAGCTACCACATTTTAGGCTACTTTCTAAGATAGGAGCCTATGAAGTTAGGGTAGTAATTAGCGTGGATAGAGGATTAGCTAACTAATAGAAGACAACGTTGTGATAAGGGAGACATTTTCAGGTTGGCAACCTGTAACTAGTGGTGAGCTGGGGTTAATTTATTCACAACATATATTAATGACTTGGGTGAGGAAAGGAAATGTACTAAGGCCAAGTTTGTGGATGACCTAAAAATAAATGGAAACCGAGGGATACAGACAGGTTGTGTGATGTGGGAAAATGTAAGATTATGCACTTTTGCACGAAGAATAGAGGAGCTTAATAGTATTTAAATAAAGAAATTCTGCAGAAGGCTACAGCACAGAAGCATTTGGGAGTCCTCGTTCATGAATCATAAGAAGCTAGCATGTAAGTTCAACACACTATAGGGAAGCAAATTTAATGTTGACCTTTATTTCAAAGGGATTGGAATATAAAAGTAGGGAGGTTTTACAAGGCTCTTGTCAGACCACAGCTGGAATACTGTGAACAATTTTGGGCTCTTATCTAAGGAAAGATATACTGGCATTGGATGCCATCCAAAGAGGGTTCAACAGGCTGATACCAAGTCTGGAGGGATTTTCTTATGAGGAGAGGTTGAGAATATTGGGAATGTTTGTTGTGTTGAGAATATTGGGAATGTACTTATCGGAGTTTACAAGAATGAGAAATGACCTTATTGAAACATAAGAGTCTTAGGGACTTGCCAGGATGGATGCAGAGAGATTGTTTCCCTTTGTGGTAGAGTCTATAACCACAGGTCTTAACTTGGAATTAGAGGTCACACATTTAAGACAGAGGAGAAGGAAATTCTTCTGAGGGTAATGAATCTGGAACTTTTTTTTAACCTCAGACTGCTGTCAAGGTTGAGTTGTTTGGCATATTCAAGGCTGAGATTTTTAATAAGGAAGCAAGGGTTTTAAGGAACAGGCAGGACTGGAATTTAGGGTTAGATCAGCTATGAATGAACTGAATGGCCTGTTTCTGCTCCTATATCTAATGGTTTTATGGTCTTGGCATCTCTGTTGCATTTCTAATATAAAAGTTGGCTTAAACCGATCACTCTCATCCTCTTTACCTCTTCTACATTTTAGAAAATAGTGTCAGATAACTGAATTTACTGATCATCTCTTTGTATGGATCCTTCCTCTTCCTTTCTAATTCCACTAGCATCAGTGATTAACTTGTTCTGGTATCTTTCAATATATTTACTAGTCTGCCTCCTTGATTAGAAAAATAAAGTCACCATAGTCTTACCAGACCATAAGCCTATTATGTTACCACCAATGGTTGGGGATTTAACCTGAGGGTCACTTCATCTCAGGCAAGGGAGAGGTTGAGAAGAAAAAGTCTCATGGTCACTTCAGCTGGTGCAGGAATTGAATCCACGCTGTTGGCATCGCTATGCATTGCAAATAAGCTGTCCAGCTAACTGAACTAACCATGGAGAGCAAGGAAGTGCTTGTTCTCTCCAGTCAGAACACTGAACCTTTCCATAATTGGTTTACTTATTTCATTGGAGGAGTAAAGGGCCACTTCTAAATATCCTAACCCTCCAGCAGTCTGACTCTCCTTATCAATAATTAAAGTATAATTCTCTTGACTAGCGTGAGCGATGTCCCTGTGCTTACTAAGTTCTGAGGAAACACATTTCATCTGTGCAACTGCTATGTTTTTAATACCTATTTCCTTTCCCAGTACAGCATTTACTGAGAATTCCTAAGGTGATCCTACAACTGCAACAGGTCTCACAGTTAATTTCTGCTGATTAGATTCAGTATGTCCACTTTTATTAAAATGGATGAATATTATTTTATTTACATTACTCTTAATTATGGACTTCTTCTAACTTCAAAGTAAACAGTTGATCTGGGTCCAGCAGCCACACTCCTACAGCGTAGACAAACAGGAGGCTGGAAAAACATGGCAAGTGAGGCAGTATCTGGAGGAAAGGAGAGGTCAACGTTTTGGGTATTAACTCGCATCCCTGGATTCTATTTACATGGCTCGTTGTGGCGGAAAGGCGGCCAACATCAGCAAAGACCCATCGCACCCTGGTAATGACCTCCTACAACCTCTTCTGTGAAACAAAAGATACAGAAACCTGAGCGTGCGCACAAGCACGTTCAGGAACAGCATCTTTCCAGCTGTTATCAGACTGTTGAAAGGACTGTAGCCTCAAACAATGTAACCTCTATGACTCTTAAGTCCTCTTGATCTGTACATTCCTTGCTTGCTGTGAACTGTCTGTACTGCTCGTAAACAAAGTTTTTCACTGTATTTCGGTACGTATGGCAATAAAAAAAAATCATTCGATCTGCGGGACAGTCTCGTCCCGAGTGCCTGATCTCCTGAATTGTTCTCTCCTGGTGAGTATCAGCAACAGAATAGGCGCGGGCAGAGGAAGGAGGAATGGGGTTAGGGGTGGGGCCAGGGGGCGTGGTCAGAAGTGGCAGTTCCGTGTGTGAGGGACCGGGGTCAGGAGCAGGTCAGTGCCGTGTGTGGGCGGGGCGAGCATTGTGATGTAGACACCGGGCACTGGAAGGGGTTTGATTGACGCGCCTGCGCTTTCGGGTTTCGGGCACGTTCTCGATGCGCGCTCTCGGGCCGGGGTTCCTGGAAGCGCGGCGCTGCAGTGAGGGCCCTCCTGGGTCACAGGGCCCCGCACTGGCCGCGCTATTCCGGGCCGCCCAGAGGCTGCAGCTGCGGAGGGATTTCCCAGCGGCCCTGGCGGCCTGTGAGCGCGGCCTGGAGCTGGAACAGAAAGGGAGCGGGTTAGAAACCGGTCCTGGGTCTGAGGGGGAGGAAGAAACAGGGTCTGGGGGTGGGGACATCTCTGGGAGTTGGTTTTGGACTGGCAGTGGGGTGCCGGGGAAGGGGGATGGCTGGGAGGGGCTGTACTGGGAGGCAGTTGTCTGTGAAGTGTCACTGTCCTCTGAGCCACATGTAGAACTGTTGTTGTTCACTGGTTGATTTTGACGATGTGTTTTGTGTTTGTCTTGTGGAGCAATCGCTGAACTTTTATTTTGTATCTTCTAATAATTAGCTCTGTCCTGGCTGCGGATACAAAATCTTGCTTGTGCATCATTGGAATTCAGGCTCTGGCTGAACTCAACCAATGGGACCAGGTGTTGGGCTGGGTTCTGGAAATCTATGAGATCCCAGAGAAAATACCTGCCAGAATCCTACAGATGTGGTGAGTGTGGGAAAGCTGGTCCCTGTGGGCAATTACTATTTGAATTGATCTTTACTCTGCACCTAATCTTACGCTGTACCCTGTTAAAACAGGAGACAGACAGCCAAGCCAAATTAGTCTTCCCACTTAAGTATTTGCGTATGCTAAAATTAAAGCTTTCAAACAGCCTCAAAATTGACCCCAATGTATCCTAACCAGACTTCTTGTATAACCAATCCCATACTCTTGAGAGGCCTTCTTCAGAGTAAACACACATGCAGCCAACATAATCAAGGAGCCCTCCCACCCTAGTTATAGTCTCTTCCATCAAGTAGAAGAGACAAAAGTTTGGAAATATGTATCAACAGATTCAAGAACAGCTTCTTCACTGCTGTTGTCAGATGTATGAATGGCCCTCTCTGTAGCTGAAGCACTATATTCTGCATTCTGTTCTGTTGCCCTGGTGTATGTATGTGAGGTATAATTTGTATGGATGGCACACAAAGCAATACTTTTCACTGATTCTCTGTACATGTGATAATAAATCAAATCACAAGACACTGCAAATAGCTTTTGTAGCTTAAATGAAAGACTTAGCAATTTATGAATATACAATAACTTTAGCACAGCAAAATTAAACAACAAAATAATCTAATACCTATAATTTTAAACCCAATATCCTTTGTTTTCATCCTCCGACACTTCCGCCATCTGCAATCCGACCCCACCACCAAA